ATTTATTATGCACTGCAAAAATAAAAAAATGTTGAACATTAGGTAATTTCCTTCTTTATTATTTAACCAAAACTTGTACAGGTGATGATACTCGAAAAATTTGAATATTTTATAATTCTTTATTTTTGTGGGTGGCCATAAAAACATCATGTTACATTACGTGCAATAAAGGTTTTCAACAAAGGTTACAGTTTGCAGTAAAACAGTGGCACATGCATATTATTCTCCCAATTTTTATAGTAATATTCTAACATAGAATCCTCATAACTGTACATTCGGTTAGGCCGTTTTTTTGACTGGAGGTTGCCAGTTGTTAACGTATGCACCCTTAGTGTGGTCAGGTAAGGCTATGCCTGGGATTCACGTCACTTAGGGCGCGTGGGTAATGAGCAGTACATTTTGTCATCTGATAGGTAAGAACCTAGGCCTCTCGTGGTGGTTAGCCCATGAGAAGTCGTGTCGGCCAGGTTGGCTGTTGTGCGTGCCATGTGATCGCTCGTTTGCTTATAACGGGATGGGCACGTTAAATTAAGGTAATGAGGGGGAGAGGAGGAGTAAGTAGCTGGTCATAGTGGCTGGCTTGTAGCCTGCGGAGCCAGGTATAGGGAACATAAATATATACATTTATACATTCAAGATCTAAGTGAATCTTTCTAAGCAATACAACGTATAAATTTAACCAAAACCATGAGTAGCAATATAAACAGCAGATGTTACTCGTTTCAGGCAGGGGAATCGGGTGTGCCCATTCTTGTTCCTCTAGGCACAAATGGGCTGATGTTTGCGACAGTCCATGAGGGGCGGGTGACCACCGGGGCTGCCTCTGCTGGTAGGCCCAGGGCTCGAAGGAAAGCTGGCACTTCCGAATAGTGTGTTAGGATGTGCATCTTGCCTTCTCTCTCCGCCAACAGTCGGTGTTGCCCCCACTTGTATGTAATGGATTTCTCCCGAAGCTGCTGAGTAAGCTGTCCAAGAGACCTCCTCCATGCCAGGGTGTGCCTAGATATGTCCCTGTAAAAAGTCAGATGTGCTCCCTCAAAGGGGACCGTGGGAGAGGCCCTGGTGGCTCCCATGAGAACCCCCCGGTCAGAGTCCCGATTAAATTTGACAAGCACGTCTCTAGGGGCCTCCTGAGGTGCTTTGGTAGCTTTAGGGAGCTGAAAACATGAGTCCACTCCCATCTGTTTCACTTGTTTGGGCAGCAGTAGTGTAGCCAGCAGCCATCTGCAGTAATGGGGTAATTCGGAATTTGTGACCGATTCAGGGACCCCTCGGATCCTCACATTCCGTGCCTTCGCCCTGTCTTCCATATGAGCTAACTGTGTGGTCAGGGCACTGCATTGTTTTTGCAGTGACCCCAGGGTTGCGTCTGTGGCAGTTTGGGCAACCCCCGCTCCCGTGAGGCTCTCTTCCACTGTTATTACCCGGCTTGTGAGCGTCGAGACTTCCTCCCTGACCAGCGCCATATCAGCATGGAACATAGCCTGTATTTCTTTTATTAATGCCTTTATATCGGCTTTTGTGGAGGGAGCTGAGTCTTCCAGTTCCGAGGATGTCACCGGCTTGGCTTGTACCTTCGGTGGAGGTAAGTAGACTGCTGTCGGGCTCTCTTCGTCCGACGATGGTGAGGTGTAGGCCTCAGCCAGCTCCATCTTGCCTAGGTCGGGCCGCGGCCGCGTGGCCGAGCATAGAAAAGCTGCGATGTCTCCGGATCTAGAGCCGGGATCGGTTTTATATTTCTTAGCCTTCTTGCCCATGATGTGAGGCACTCAGGAGGCGTTAGGTGGCTTGTTAATAGTGCTGTATTTCACCTATATTCAGCGTTAGGGTGAATTTCTTAGCGGAGCTACTGCAGGTTGCGTCCTACTCACTCGAGTTTCTGGCTCCGCCCCTCGAAAAATTTGAATATTTTGCAAAAGTTTATTTATTTCAGTAATGCATTGTAAAAGGGGAAACGAAAATACGAGATAGACGCATTACATGCAAAGCAAGAAAGTTCAAGCCGTGATTTGTCATAAGTACGATGATTATGGCTTACAGCTCATGAAAACCCCAAATCCACAATCTCAGTAAATTAGAATATTACATGCAATCAATAAAACAAGGAGTGTACATAGAACAATATCAGACCTCTGAAAAGTATAAGCATGCATATGGACTCAGTACTTGGTTTGGGTCCCTTTTGCAGCAATTACTGCCTCAATGCGGCGTGGCATGGAAGCTATCAGCCTGTGGCACTGATGAGGTGAAATGGAAGACCAGGATGCTTCAATTGTGGCCTTCAGCTCTTCTGCATTGTTCGGTCTCATGTCTCTCTTGGCAATGCCCCATAGATTCTCTATGGGGTTCAGGTCAGGCGAGTTTGCTGGCCAATCAAGCACAGTAATCCCATGTGTGGTCATTGAACCAGGCTTTGGTGCTTTTGGCAGTGTGGGCAGGTGCCAAGTCCTGCTGGAAAATGAAGTCAGCATCCCCACGGAAGGAGTGACCGGAGAAGGAAGCAGTGTTGTAGCCCAACCTTGATAGTAGAGTTTTGACGTGAGATGTGAATTTAGCTGTGGTGAGTGGGTGCCCTTGGAGTAGTAATAGTAGTAATAGTGGAGTGTCAGGTGAGTGTGCCCAGTCAAGTACTTTGACTGAGTGCCAGGCATTTCTGGTAGGGAAGAGGGGAATGATAGTGGGATGAATGGTGTGGTTAGTTTTAGTGGAAGGTAATGAAAGTACGTAGTGGTCTTCTACTTTCTTTAGATGAGATAGTTTCAGGCTTGATGTGGTATCTATTTGACATACGACTGTGAACTCCCTAGGTCTGAGGAAACCACAGAAAGCCATAAAGATGGCGGCTTTTATAACCAGGTTAGTGTGATAGTCAAACAGGGATTTGTCCAGTAGGTCGCTAAGTAGCTTAAAAATAGGACCATCTATAGGCAATGTGGTAGTGACGGGGGAACTGTAACCTTGTAAGTACCCTTGAGGATTTTCTTAATAGAGTATGATGTTAAGAAAGGTGTGTGAATAGGAAAGTTAGTGAGGACATGGTGTTTTATCCCAGTAAGGTAAAGCTTAATGATATTATGGGATAAATTGAGGTGTAGGTGACAGAAGGAGGCAAAAGCCACCATGGTTTTAATGGAGAAGTCTCCTTGCAAGTGAAACTCTGCAGTGAATTTGTAAAAAATAGTCACTACCCTAGCGTAAGTAATAGTGGTGTTGGGTGAGAGTGCATGGTGTGTGAGTGCCTGAGCGTGGTGTAGTAGCTCGTTTAATCCAGGATTAGCATGTGGAAGAAGGTATCCTTAATGGTAGGTGGTGGGCCGTAGAGAGTGCTTGGAAGAAGACCTGAAATTGAGAGCGTGAAAGAGCGTCAGCAGCTGTGTTATGGATACCAGGAATGTGTACGCAGACTAGGTGGTTACTGCCAGCCAAGTCAGCTTGCGAATCAGCCTCATGATGGTTAGAGAGGATGACCGCCCCTTGTTGATAGTTTTGAAAGCTGCTGAATTGTCTGAGTAGCATTTAACTGCCTTACCGGTCCAGAGATGAACCCATGTATGGGCGGCCGCCACGATGGGGTAAATCTCGAACAATGAGGATGTTTCTCTAAAAGCCGGCAAGGCATCCGTCTCAGTGGACCAGTTATCCCCAAACCATGGTTGCCGAAAATAGCTGCAAACCCTGTGTGTGCTGCTGCGTCTGTGTAGATTGTGGTCGAGAGCTCGGATAGTGGAGGTATGAACAGAGAAACCCCGTTCCATTCGGTCAAGAAGTTACTCCACATGTGCAAATCTGCCCTGGCAGGATCATCCAGTATAATTGGGCAGGAGTCGGGCACCCCATGGAGTAAACACAGTAGCCTATAGACGAAAGATCTGCCCTGCGGAATGATATGCATCGCAAAGTTAAGGGACCCCAATAAGGATAGGAGTCCCTTTCTGGTGCATGTATCATTCTGCAGAAACAGGCCGATTTCATCCCTAATGCGGGTCAATTTCTCGGGTGGTAGACTGTCTTGAAAAGATATTGTGTCTAAGACTATGCCCAAGAAAACTAGCTTGGTAGAGTGTCCAAGCATTTTACTTGGTGACAGGGGTACCCCTAGTGTAGTGAAAAGGACTGTGGTGCTTGAATACTACTTGGTGTTTGTGAGCCTGGTTCTACCAACAAAAATCAACCAAATAGTGGATAACAGACGCACACATATGTTTGGGAACAGCCAACACAGGGTCTCTGTGAAAATGTCAAACAGCTTGGGCCTGCTCCTAGACCCGAAAGTGAGTCGGGTAGACCTGTCCCGCCATTTAACACCATGCAAGTGCCATAGTGAGGGGTGAATGGGTAGTAGATTGAAGGTGTTGGTAATATCGGTCTTGCTCAACCATGCCTTACTGCCTGCTGTGATGATAGCTTGCATAACGTCATCAATTTTTGCGTAGTGCAGTGAAAACTCCTCAGTGGGTATGAGAGAGTTGATGCTGGGGAAGGAAGAAGAATGAGGTGCAGAGAGGTCAATAATCAATCTTTTTTTTATTTGAGTACTTGTGTACAGCTACCCCAATGGGGCTGGTGCACCAAGATGAAAACAGTGATGATATGAAAGGGCCAATCATGAAACCAGCCTTGGTTTCTGTGGACAGTAGGTGGTCCATGAGAGGGTCATTAGATACTTACAACAGGTTAGGGCATTCGAGTGTGCCTATGGTGATGGCAATGAATCCCGTGTGAAACCCGTGTGAGAAACCCATAACCAAATAATCTACCAAATGCCTGGCTAGGTGGGAACGCAGGTAGTAAGCCACAATGTCTATGTTAATCTCGGTTAGTCATTTTTTAGATGACAGTCGGGCAGGGCATATTGTCTTAGTATGAGCTCTGAAGCAAATGGAGCAGATGTGCAACAACCTGCATGCGCTGAGGCTGCATGCCCCAGCGTTAAAGTTATTGCACACCTGCGCCTTGCCCAGCTTGTCCCTCTGCCCGCCTTCTTGTCTAGTGTGTGGGGTGAAGGAGTGGTGAGACGTGGAAGGGTCTGCCTCAGAAGGGCACAAGTCAGTGGAGTGAGATGTTGAGCTACAGGTGGCACAGGACGGGGGCCTCAAACCGGCAAAGTGACAGCAAAAAAGTTCTGTGTCCATCTGGCACCAGTCAATTCTTATGTTAAATTGTGCCAGATGAGTTGCTGCCTTGGCTGAAACTGACTTGTGGTAGTCGTAGAAGCAGGACCCCCCGTACTTGAGCTATAGATATAGCTCTTCTTCCGTCCTATGTGGATACACCATGCAGATGACATCTCAATATATCCCAAAAGCTATAACAAACTGGGGTATAGAAAGTTTTTGATAAGGCGTGGGTCTCTAGTTTTTAAGACCACTGAGATGTCCCCATAATTGTATGCTCTGTTTTCAAGGACGTCTTGTGAGGCTATGAGTAAGGAAACATCCTTCCCATGGAGGTTGGCCAGAATAGCAGTCAGGGTCTCCTGTGTGGAATCGAAGGTGTATGTAGACGGCCCTTGTGAGCTAGTGCCGGGCCTGGGTTCGTTGGCCTGTGCCGTCAAGAGCCTGCACAGCTCTGCCTTTCTAGTGGTGGCTGGAAAGGGGATACCCCTGAGCCTAAGTTTTGCTGCAATTTTTGCACTAGTCCAAGATCTCAGGGACCTGGGGGTGGAGGGGGTGAGGGATTCCTCTGGAGACCCAGGCCTGACTGGCGTGCTGGGTACTTCGTCCAATTGTAGATCATCAATAGGGATAGGTTGTGACATTCTGAAAAAGGAATACTGATTTAAATTAAGTAGGGTAGTGTGAAGGGGGGGACGAGACCTTCGGAGAACTGGCCTGCTAACTAGTGCCGAGGTGAAGAACTTAACTAAAACCCAAGTGACAGGTGAGGCCCTGCTAATGCCAAGTGGCGGTGAGAGGCTCTACCTATGATTTTGGCCGAGGGAAGTTGTGGCCACTTGAACGTGGTGGCGGGATGTTGGCCTGTCAATGACCGTAGGAGATTCAATACGCGTGGCCGTGACTTGAGAAGCCATAGCTGTTGCCCTAAAGAAGGACGAGCGAGGTGGCTAACTATAAATTTTGGCCGTGGGGCTGAACTTTTGTGTTGAGGTGGGGAGTAGGCCTCGCGGGACTGGTGAATTTAGTTAGGGTTGCTAAGGCCAGCACCTATCCCTAAATGCCAGTTCTCTAACCTGATGGGGCTTGTCTCCTTAATGATGTGCCCGAACATATGTAGATACTACTGTAGATCGTAGTGAGGGGTCTTGATGTGGCCCATGTAGAAGTTAGAACCTGCCTAGGGGGGAGGGATGGCTGAATGTGGCCATGGAGGCTGAATGAGGCCTCAGGGGATGAAATAAATTAACAAGTAAACCACTATACCTAATATTGTATGACAGGATACTGGGATGACACTTACTGAAGTCTACTTGAAGGAAATGTAGAGGAGCCTAAAATCACACACATGGCTTAGTATTGGAACCATTATGAATTTTAAGAGAAAACAGTGATTGAGTGAACGTGCCTATGGTCAGTACTGCGCCTGGCGAAAAAGGAGCCGTGGTGGTTGCATATGGGAGATATGCGTGAAAAGTTTGTGAGAGCTTAACCTATTGGCATGCTACAACAAGATAATAAAAGTATGATTTATTATGAGAGAAACTTACTTAAATGAAAGACTAGTTGTGCAGTAGTGTTAGGTAAAGAAATTAATGATAATATGTGAGACTAAATTGCCTGAAAAAGTGAATCAGCAGTACAGAGTGACATTTAGTATGAATCCCCTAGTATGTGTTCTTCCCAGTTAGTACTTTTAAGTGGGTTTTGTAGTATATATGATAAATGTGTCCCATTTAATTCTAAACATAGCCATGGCATGCTAATTTGTACAGGTTAGACTTGATACTATTTAACATGCTATACACCAGGCAGAAAATTGAGTGAAAAGCTGTAAGATGAAAGTGGTCTTTTCGTTTGTATGAACGAATGGTATAACAGCTTAACATAGTGCCAGTTACGAGCTTTAAGCAGTAAAACAGGCTGCGTTCGGCTAAAAACGAACGAACGGAAAAGAACTGTATGCAGACATGGTGCTTGCGGTCGGCACGTTTAGCCGCACGAACCACTGAAGTACACGAATGGGTAATTATGCACGAAACAGGTAAGTATTATTATTTTAGGCATGAACGTGGGAAATAGCCAAACGCTATTTCCCACGTTATGCTTACATGGACGTGTCAGTCTCATGACCGGAAGCCGGGTACCGAGGCCGGTAGGACTCCTGCTGGCGACAGGACTCCTGCTGGAAGCTTGAATTTTTTGGCGGGAACTTTGGACCGGACGTGCTGGTTGCTAAGGAGAAGTCAAACAGTTTGAACGGCAGAGGTGAGTAGGGGTTAGGAGTTTAAATAGGGGCCATAACTCCTCCCACAAATTCAGGCATAATGGCCTTTTAACGTATATATATTGGTGAGTAACCTCCCTTTTTTCTTTCCTATATATTTCTGCTATATTTGTTTTTAAATTGATCTTGATGAAGACCTGAAGAGTTTGAAATGTCGATCGTTCATTCAATTATGTTGGATATTAAATACTATTAATTATCTTCTAAAGACCACAGAGTGCATCTTTTTTCTTCACTTTTTGTTTATACCCAGCGTGGGATTGCACGAAGGCATATTTTTTCATGGACTGCATGTAAGGGTGAGTGCCACTATATCTATATATGTATATATATATATATATATATATATACGTTATATATATACGTTAAAAGGCCATTAGGCCTGAATTTGTGGGAGGAGTTATATATATATATATATACTGTACCTATAAGATGACTAAGATCAATTCATAATTTCATATAAACACACAACTGTGACATTTGATCAGTAATGAACTGGTTAAACGGGGGTTGTGTGCTCCTTCTTGTCCACTACACCCACACCCATCACTTCTCACACAATTACCCCATTCTCTGCACAAAGGGTTTCATTAACAGCTAAATAAAGTGACGCAGATAGTCACATACTGAGAGAGAGATTATTCCTTGTGTTGAAAGGGAATGGGGGAGCTAGTTTGCTTCACTTCTGTAAAACTTTCAATCCATTGTTTGGCTTTGTGTTGTTGCTGCAGGAATTTCAACCCAGCAAGCACAACCACTGGAATCAGGCAAATATAAGGGAAGTGGATTCTTCAGCACCAAAACAGCTGGAGCAGATGATTAGAGTTTGAAGCATTGCAGAAATAATAGTGACTAGCCAAGGTCATACAGAGGGGTAGCAGCAAAGTAGGATCTGGGGGGGCAGACACAGGGAGATGAAAGAGCTGCTCAGGCAATGAGTCAGCAGCAGTCAAATTGAGTTTGGACTCCCAGCCTGAAGAAGACTCTGAGCACATTCAAAGAGCTGCAGAAGAGGTGTAGGGAAAACAGTTAAACATTGAAAGCATGGCTGTGCTGCAGACTTTCCATATGACCTCAGGCACAGGAACAAAGGAAGGATTGTTAAATTTCACCTCTCTGAAAATCTGAAACATTTCCCTGAATATTTCCGTCTGACACAAGAGTCTGTCAGGGAGAGAAAAAAAGACAAGTGAAGGGGATATTTTTTAGGGGGGCGGTCAATGAAAGAGAGGAAGGAGGGGGAAAAATGAGGGATTTATAGAGTAAACTTAGTCAGTCATTGGAATAAGAACACAGAGATGCATGAGGTGAAGGAAGCAAAAATGGCTGAAACAAGAGTGAGAGAGAAGGTAAATTAAAGAGGTGAGCGGGGAAGGGTTAATAGAAAGGTGAACGAACAGAACTTTAGGAAAAAGATATCAAAAGGAAAGGATGAGTAAGGAGCCTGAAGGGAAAAGACTGGAAACAGTGAGACTCTGTTATATGCAAACACCGAGACACTGTTAAGGACAAAGAGGAAATTGGGGAGAAAAAAAAACACAAAACTCTGGGAGTCATTAACCCTTAGTGTGCCACTTTACTACACGCGTCTGGCACTGAAACGGTGGTTTAAAAAAATAAATTAAAAAAAAGCAAAGACGGAGAGCAAATCACAGAGAGAGGCGGTAAGGAAATAAAGAGAGGGGTGTTGTTTAACAAACCCCCCTAACAGGTCCCCCAGAGTGAGAAGAGGGAAAAAAAAAAAAAGATCTGAGAGAGGAGGAGAGATGCTGTGGGGACTGACTTTCTCATAGTAAGTGCAGACTGCTGAGACTGTGTCACCGGGACAGAGCGACACACCGGCCGGACAGACAGGGACAGAGCCGCAGCGACAACCTGCAGAGCAATGTGACTGCCCATCCGCAGCGAGACATGGTGAGGGTGGCACTGCTCTGTCTGCCACTATCTCACTCCCTCCATCCAAATCTGACTGCCATAAACCTTCTGTCCTCACTCCAGAGGTATCTGGCTCTTCCTGTCGCACTCTGCTCGTGTTCTTTCACTGTCTCTGCTCACATTCCCTCTCTTTGTTTGCTTCTAGACTGAGATCTGTTTTCAATGAGCAAAAACCTAGTCAACAAAAGGAGTGCATTTGCACTGTGAGTAAAGTCCCTGTATAGGGCTGGGGGGGATTTATTTGGCTTATACATAAACCGTAATGATTATATATCACTTATATCTATATCTCTCAATCTCCCAATGATGTTGCAACATTTTTGTTGAAAATAGAACAAAGCGTACAGTTCAGAGTTTGCCTGTGATTGGCTCTTGGAGTTTGTGCCCTTCTGTTATTCGTTAAGTGCTGCCCTGCCTGTGGGGGCAGAGGGTGAGTAAATGTGGCAGCTGCTTTCTTCAAGTCAGTCTCAATCTGTGGCTCTGAGTTTGTCCCTCGCTGTCATACTCCACATACATGTCTTTATGTTGTCTGTTTTTTCTTTAATTTCTTTTCTTCTTCTTTTTTACTTCGTCACTCCTTCCTTTGTGTCTCGGTTGCACTCCTAGCTGTCTCCTTCCCATTACTTCTCTGCTTCTCTGTCTGTATCCTCTCTTCCTCCCTCTCCAGGAAGAAATGATCTCACGCATTTAATGACTTGCAGCTGGTGTTATGGCTGAGAAAGGACACACACAGACATGTATATACTGTATAACACATCTATTGATATATGCATATGACAACACTTCTCACCGCTCTGTACATTCACCATTCATAACATATACAATACAGAAAGGTGCCTGTATGCAGATGTACATAAATATGGATTGGCAAACAGCACACCCCAAAAATAAGATTAATTTTCCCCCCGAAAATTCCCGAACATAGATTAGCTTACTCTCAAATGGACTCCTGCGAATCTATGTTTAGGGAAAATTACCTGAACATAGATTAGCGAACTTGCAACTAGGGCTTATTTTTGGAATAGGGCTTTAATAACGAGCATCCCTGGAAAATAAGCTAAAGCTTATTTTCCAGGGATGTCTTATTTTCAGGGAAACAGGGTACTAACACACAAACACACAAAGACAAACATCTGGAACCATATCACCAATTGTGTGTTTTTTTTAACCTACACAATTATACCTGAATTCATAAATACCCAATTGGCAAACGTGCACAAATACATGAAATTAAACAGTAGGTTTTTTTTATTTTGTTTTTATATGAAGGCAAGCCAGATAAAACTGACATTATACATGCCTTACCAGCTATTATGTCAAAATCACTTGATTTTATAACAGCTTGATTAGTTGCAGGTATAGGGGTCAGAATATATTAATTTTGCAGTGTTTTGTTTCCTCTTATCTCTCACGTTCCATTGAAAGATAACTCGTAGAATGGAAATTTCAGACCTAATGCAGGTGTAGTAATACAGCAAAATAAATATTAAAATAGACATATTTACCTAAACACCAGTTCATGTACTTATGATAGGGCCACTAAGACAGAAAATGGTCCATATGCTTTTCACATCAAGCTGTGTCCTAATTTGACTTATTCATATCCATAAGAAATGTACATCTTAAATTGAAGGTGCTGTAACTGGATTGCTTTATTTATAATTTATTTTTCTATACCTTATCCACAGTACGGAGTCAGAGTACCATTTTTTTAATATGACGGTTAAAAAAATCTAGTTTTATCGTATCAAGGCATTGCCTGCAGTTCCTAGATGATTTATTTACATTTCCACGAACTAAACGTTAGTTGTGTGCAAATATATGTGACTGTAGTTAGAGGATTTTATTAAAAAAAAAGAAAACATGAATGAAGCATTTCAAGCATGTTGGTGTCATATTTATCCCTGCTGTCAGAAAATTGGAGGAAATAGGATCTAGCGATAGGGAGATTCTTTCATATAATCGGGTCAAGGTAGCACCTGGTGCATGGAGCATTCCCTTTATTTGGCTAAATTAATGATTGTGTGTGTTACATTTTGAAATCATGATAGTTCCACTTTAATCATATTAATACATTCTCTGCCAGTTTATGTATGTGTTAGTATGCAAAAGTCAATGTTACTGCTTATTCCAAAAATAATGAGCTAAAGTAAAGTTGCTGTATCAAAGTAGAACATCAGATGTAATTACAAAAATAGCACAGTGACGCGTTAAATACTCAAATGTACTTGTGATAACTGATGCTCACCATGACCCTTTGCACTGCCAGAGACATCAGCTTCCTTCTAGATCAGGCACACCTTTTCCTCTGGTACTCAAATGCCATAAATATAGTGTTTTGCAATGTTATTCTTTGTCTCTTTGGATCCAGATTATTTCTCTTTTTTTTTTTTTTTACACTTTAGTTCCGTTCAGTAGTTTCGGAATCTTGGACACAAGCAAACATAATTTTGGCTGGAAGAAAAGAACAGCTGGTAGACCCAGACACAAACACATCACACGGTGATCTACATACATGGCCTTAGGCACAAACACATCACACAGTACTTTACATACAGGGCCTGAGCCCCAAACACATCACATTGTTATCTACATACATGGCTTGAGACACAAACACATCACATAGTACTCTACATACATGGCCTTAGGCACAAACACATCACATAGTGCTCTACATACAGCACCTGAGCCTGCAACAGATTCTCCATACAGGACCTGAACCTGAAACAGATCACACGGTACTCTCCATACAGCACCTGAGACTGAAACAGATCACACGGTACTCTCCATACAGGACCTGAGCCTGAAACAGATCACACAGTACTCTCCATACAGGACCTGAACCCCAAGCAGATAATACAGTTCTTTACATACAGGACCTGAACATGGGCGTCCGCAGGGGGTGGCAAGGATGGGCGTCCGCAGGGGGTGGCAAGGATCCCACTGGAATTTTCAGCCTGTTCTGCTATTTTTCATGTGATTGAAAATGAACTGCAATACCGGCGCCGGCCAGTAGGCGCTGTGTATAGAGAGAGACAGGGATAGGAAGCTGCATCTTATCCCTGCTTCCCTCTGCTGATTGAAACGCAGGGGAGCAACACATACAGCCAGAGAGAGCCTACAGATCAGGTAAGTGAGGGATGGGGGGGAGGGTTTGAGATAGCCTATAGATTAGGGGAGTGAGGCTAGCCTATAGATTAGGGGAGTGAGGCTGGGGGGCAGCAGCCTATAGATTAGGAGAGTGAGGTGGGGCATCCTATAGATTAGGGGAGTGAGGCTGGGGGGCAGCAGCCTAGATTAGGGGAGGAGGCAGGCAGCCTATAGATTAGGGAGTGAGGGCAGCGATAGATTAGGGGAGTGAAGGGGCAGCAGCCTATGTGATTAGGGGAGTGAGGAGCAGCAGCCTATAGATTAGGGGAGTGAGGCTGGGGGGGCAGCAGCCTATAGATTAGGGGAGTGAGGCTGGGGGGGGCAGCAGCCTATAGATTAGGGAAGTGAGGCTGGGGGGGGGCAGCAGCCTATAGATTTTCCTATAGATTAGGGGAGTGAGGGGGGGGGCAGCCTATAGATTAGGGGAGTGAGGGTAGCCTATAGATTAGGGGAGTGAGGCTGGGGGAGGGCAGCAGCCTATAGATTAGGGGAGTGAGGCTGGGGGGGCAGCAGCCTATAGATTAGGGGAGTGAGGCTGGGGGGGCAGCAGCCTATAGATTAGGGGAGTGAGGCTGGGGGGGGCAGCAGCCTACAGATTAGGGGAGTGAGGCGTGGGGGGGCAGCCTATAGATTAGGGAAGTGAGCATAGGCGTGCGCAGCCTATTGCATTAGGGTGTGCACCCTAAAGCACAAACACACGCCACCTGTATATGTATGTATATATAAATATTTATATATATATATATACATACACTGCTGTGTGTGTGCTGTGTGATGTGTGTGTGAGGGTGCTGGTAGTGTGCTATGTGGGTGAGGGTGCTGTTTGTGTGCTGTGTGTGAGGGAACTGGTAGTGTGCTGTGTGTGCATGTTTGTTCGGGTTCTGTTAGTGTGCTATTTGTGTGCTGTGTGTGGGTGTTGTGTGTTTGTTAGTGTGCTGTTTGTGTGTGGGTGCTGTGCGGGTGTTGTGTGTGGGTTTTGTGTGTTTGTGAGGATGCTGTTAGTGTGCTGGGTGTGCGAGGGTGCTGTATGTGTGTAGGTGCTGTGTGTGTGGTGGTGCTGTTTGTGGGCTGTGTGTGCTGTATGTGTGTAGGTGCTGTGTGTGTGCTGTTTGTGTGTGTGTGCTGTATGTTTGGGTGGAGGTTGGGGCAGATTAGTTAATATCCCAGTCCTGCTGCCTTCCCTGGTGGTTCAGTGGAGAGTGAACTCTAGCTCGGTTTCTCTGCTGCCTCCTTCCATTCTGCTGTGGACCGGTGAGGTAGATCTTTGATCTCCCCACCGGCCCATGGAGGCTTAGACCAGAGCTGCCGCTCGGATAGTGTCGGCTCTGCATGAGCCAACCGGAGAGATCCAGAGATCTCTCCTGTCGGTCTCAATCCATTGGCGTGCCGCGGGGATTAGGGTGTGCCCAGGCACACCCGACACACCCAGTGCGCACGCCTATGGAAGTGAGGGATGGGGGAGACAGCCTACATGAAGAGTCAGCAAGGAGCAGGAAGGTAAAGTAAGAGAAGGAGCATAAAGGAGAAGGAACAGAAATGAGCAGGAAGGGACATCAAGGAGCAGAAAGGGGCAGAAAGGAGCTGGGAGGGACAGCAAGGAGCACAAAAGGTAAAGTAGGAGAAGGAGCACAAAGTAGGAGAATGAGCAGGAAGGGGCAGAAAGGGACAGAAGGAGCACAAAGGTAAAGGAGCAGAAAGAATCAGAAGGAGCACAAGAGTAAAGTAGGAGAAGGAGCAGAAAGGGAAAGCAAGGAGCACAAAGGTAAAGTAGAAAAAGGAGCAGAAAGGGTCTGCAAGGAGCAGAAAGGGATCAGAATGAGAAAGGAGCAGAAGGGCGCAAAATAAGCAGAAAGTAGCAGAAAGGTAAAGGAGACAAGGAGGAGAGAAGACAGTGTCAGAAGAAAAAGAAGACTGTGTCAAATGAAGGAGAGGAAAAGGAGATTGGAGCAGGAAGGACAAATTAAGTGAACCCTCCACTTTATTCTGGACACGACATCATAAGGCTTTGGTACCTGGGCCTGGCAGGGAAATTTTGGACCTTCTCATCTCCAAAGGTAAAAAAAAATATCAGTGTTAATGTTAACTTTTATTTACTGAGTGTCAGGAAGCACAGAGTGCCGTTGGGTAGGGGTGTTGCTGATTGGCTAGAGCAGTCAGCTGGCACTCTAAGCCAATCAGTAGCTACTCATTCATAAAAAAGTAAAAATATTTTATGAACCGGGAACTAGCGATTGGCTTAGAGTGTCAACTATCCACTCTAGCCAATCAGCAGCACCCATGCCTGAAGCCAATCTGCACTTCCTGACTCTCTGTTTCAGAAGCCGAATACCACTGAGCGACCTGGAGCTGGAGGAAGCCTTTGGGGTTAAACCATTTGAGAGCGATTTAACCCCTTAAAGGAAAGAGAGCACACAGGGGCTTCCTGGCATCATAGCATTTTCATTTAGGTGAAGTTGTTTTGTTGACCAGAATGGTCCTTTAATTTGCTTAAAGGAACACTATAGTGTCAGGAATACAAACATGTATTCCTGACACCATAGTTGTGAAAACGCTATTCACCCTGGCTTTATGTGATAATGGCTTTGCCCCTTCCCTTTCATGACACTATCATAAAGGTACCAAGCATGGATATCATTACAATTATGTCCTCCCCCCCCCGCCCCCCGGAAAGATTCCTGCGGACGCCCATGGACCTGAGCCCTAAACACATCACACTGTACTCTACATGCAGACCTGAGTCCTAAACACATCACATGGTTCTATCGATACCTGGCTTGAGACACGAACACATCAAACAGTGCTCTACATTTATGGCCTTAGGCAAAAACACATCACACGGTACTCTACATACAGACCTGAGTCCTAAACACATCACATGGTTCTATAGATACCTGGCTTGAGACACAAACACATCAAACAGTGCTCTACATTTATGGCCTTAGGAAAAAAACACATCACACGGTACTCTACATACAGGATCTGAGACCCAAATACATCACACGGTTCTCTACATACATATATACATACAGGACCTGAGCCCCAAACATGGTACTCTACATACATACAGGACCTGAGCCCCGAAAACACATCACCTGGTGCTATGCATACTTGGGCTAAGGCAAATACAATACTCTACATTCATGACTGAGCAACCAGCACACTATATAGTGTTCTACTTAAAAAGCTGGAAGTGACAGTTCCTTGTTCCGTTACCCTAGGAAATGCTATTGTAATAGTTACCATGCTGAAAAACTGCAGAGGTAATAAAAAGTGCACTTGGGTTTGCATAAGCATGTGCTATGGGCATCTACACAGAAATCTGTTTGAACCCATGTGTGCAGCACTGATGGGATTACATTACCATGCTGTGCCCAGTGTGCTCTAAAGTGCAGGTTAATTAATAATTAAAACAGAATAGACAATAGCACACATTTCATTAGTTATTTGGTTGTGCAGAAGTCCTACAAGTGACAGTTCCTCTACCACTACAGCCTCATAACCACGACAGCTTCTTTCCCAGATACCCTCTTGCACTGAGCTAGCCAAGGTGTTTAATCATGAAATAGTCAGACTACATGGATTACCTGTGGAAATAGTCTAGGACAGTGGGAGTCCGTTTATTACTCGTTTTTGAGGTAATGCTTGCTTTCCTATGGAGAGGGCCTAATGCGCTCATCTTGCATGCGCATTAGGTCTCCCCTCTGGATGACGTTGGAAGAGGCGGAGCACCGGCCCAGTACCAAAGGGACATTGGTGTTGGAATCATGTAAGTGACTCAATGTTTTTAAAACCCTTTATCTGCCGTGGGAAGGGGGGACCAAAGGGCACTATAGTGTTAGGAATTCAGATTTGCTAAAGCTAAAGTTGTTTTGATGCCTATAGTATCTCTTTAAGGTTGCACACTGCAACCTATAACACAACATGATGTAAAAAGAGTTGCTGATAGAAATGGGGGCCAGAATCAACAGTTTTGCTGTGCCAAATATAAAGAAGGTCCATCGGGCTGATAGATATTCCTTGACAAAAAAAACCTGAAAACATACACTAAATATGAAATAATATGAACTGAAATATCATCATAAACCTGATAGTTTCCCAGATTATATGCTGGGGCTGTAGTTCTTAATTCTTGGATTGGGAATCAGATCCAAAATTGGTTCTACTTAAAGACAAACTATAGTGTCAGGAAAACAAAGTTGTAGCTCCTTATAGTGCCCCCTTCCCTCGTGCAGTTAAAACCTAAAAGTTAAAAACCCCTTCTGTCACTTACCTATTCCATTGACGTTTTCCCCCTCCACTCCTCTCCCACTGACGTCAGCAGGAATGCTTTCCTATAAGGTTTTACATGACACTGGATGTCCGAGGACATCTAGCGTCAGTTAGGAAACCAAACGTCACCTAACAACCCAGAGGTCACTCCGGGGCTTTCTGTTAGACATCCACTTAAAGATGTAATTATTTCAGTTTATTGGAAATAATTGCCTTTCCAGGGTTAAGGGACCTGGGACTTTGCAGTCAAACCACTTCAATACGCTGAAGTGGTCTGGGACTCAAACGTGCGAGAATATGATATTGACACAGCGCCTGACTGATGAAGCACCAGGATCTGATATTGTTTGCTGCAACACAGCAGGGTTCTACAAGAGAGAGTTTCAGGTAAGTACATCTACCTTAAGTTTCTCCCCCTGGTCTAAGTAACTCAAGCTAGCATGTCACCTTTAGGGTCTTTGTGATATATGCAAAGATCCCGGAAGATGACAGAACTGCTATTTATAAGAATTATTTCAACAGCAACCTTATAATGAATCTATCTACGTAATGTATTACCAACTGCAATCTTACAATAGAGAGTCAATGTGTGAACAATCATAAGAGTGCACATTTAGCCAACACGAAATGTATTATGTAGCCCATGAGAAATTTAAGTTACCATCTTTGTAAATATAAATGTAAAATGACGTAAATATATATTTTTTTTATCTCATTGATCCATACCCAGTATATCTTATCATTTGCATTCAAGGCTCTCTTATCCTTTATGTTATATGTCTATGTATTTATTTTTCTAAATGAACTCAGTACTATCTCCCTAATGTTATAGCCTCTCGCTACTATTTCCACTTTTCTTTTAATCACTGTGGGAGGTTTGGCATTGCAAACATTGAAAAGATTTTGCAGAAGTACTTGGTGCAGACAACCAGACTTCCCTTTATATTTATAGTGTCGGGCCATTCCTCCGTCTGTTATAGTACAATCTCTGTACTGGTAATGCATACCTCCCATGTTTCCTTCTTTAAGATCTTTAAATCTTTCTATCCCTCTTCGTGCTCCTGTGGTCCCTCTTCTAGTTGTCTATAATACTTGGTGTATGTATCATACAACAATGCGCCTATACATAATGCATGTTTATACCTCAGTCAACATGATTGGGGTGAAAAAAAAGTGAGACAGTTTGTTTAAATAGCAATTACCGGTAATAGTAACAAGGAATGCAGGGTACTCTGAAAATGTGACAAGCACAAATACATACACCATTAGAAATCTACAGGTCCTGTTACATGTACTACTTTTATTGGAAAATGTAAAATAAAAAAATAACATCACTAGAGCATCATCATATCTATGAATAAGTGTTCATATCTTCTGGAACATTTGTGACGAGGACTGGCTAACTCTCTTTATTGAGTATATTGTACATTCAATATTAAAGGTGTCCAGACTAAAAAGGTACTTTCTATAAATAAATAAAAAAAATAAGAAAAAAAATAATGACCAAATTCAAGCTGTTCTAACCTTGAAGTCAATGTATTTGTGTCACACTTTGATCTGGCTTGAGGAACACCAGTGTGCACAGTATGCTGGATGAAAACCACTGGCTCTATAGAACAGCAACTTCGCTTGTGTGCTGCAGGTCATTTACAGTACCAAGATGACATAAAAGTTAGTAAGTTAGCAAGTACTAATTAATTTGTGAAGCACACCTTCAAAGTAAAAGTTGTCATCTTTGGCTGTTTGAAGCGTTGTAGAGGTGTGGTGAAACACATTTAAATGTCAAGACCATTAAAACAGAATATAGTTTTAACTTACATATAGCAGCATATGTAGGCAATATGTATAGCTTTAGAAATGATTCTGTTTTAATTCTCCAAAATGAGTGTTGTGCACCGAAACATTACATTTTCTTATGCCTTTTCAGATGCCCAGAATTAAATCAGTTAGGTTACACACTTCTGTTGCATTTTTAAGTATTGATTCAATGTCAAACTGATGTAAAAACACCTGATCAGGATGGATCAAAATTGCCATATATTATCCAGGAAATACTGTAAATTGCTGAAAGGTTCCTTTTGATTTAAAAATATGACTTGACTGTTTCTTTAACAATGCAGATTGTCTCATTAACAGAAGACACAGTCCCTGTGATGCATAGCAATGCTGTTTGTGTTCTTGTGTACAAGTTGTATCCTATATCGAATTGTTACATAGAATGTATTTGTCTCTTCCAGACCCCGCAGTCTGTGGAAGATTGCTTGCAAAGTGCTCTCTCCTCTCTGTACCCTCCCTTTGAAGTTACAGCCCCCACGCTCCTGTCTCAGGTGTTTTCAGTGTTGGAGAGGACATATCGTGAAGATCCCCTGCGATACACTCTAGAATTCCTAATACCAGCTAAGAGAATCCTTCAAAATGTGCAGCACCAGGCCTGTGTAAGTCTCACTATGGTGCTTACTTCTACATCTCTATCATAAGCTTGCACTGGCTGTTTCACTATGTTCCTCTGTGCATAGTAGATGTATAGCAGGTTGTTAGTCACGTGTTTCAATTGTCTCATGATATGTGTCAAATAATTTGCCCTCTGTTGTCCTAATTTCCACCCTTGACTTTTTAATCACACAAGCTGCATTTTTACATCTTACCGTGCAAAACCATCAAAGTTTTCCATTATATTCATATTCTTCTTCTTCCAATCTCTCTTTCTCCCTATTTTATAAATGCCATTTTTGCTTTGCTTAATTTCTTTAATTTCTGTATTTTTTTCTTCATGTTATTTGGCAGTCTCAATATAGTGGATTCCTATTCTTTCACGAAGGATGGCCGCTGTGTCTTGGTGACAAGATTCTTATTCAACTCTCCTCCCTTCCCTGGCACTTTCTGAAGCCTGGGGACTTCTACCTTCAGGTTGTGCCATATCTTGAGTGCTCCCCACGCCTTGTGTTAAAGTGCCTTTCTCAAGATGGCAGTGGAGTCCAGGAGATTGTGGTTCCTGAAAGCTCCCATTCCTTCATTTTCTCTGCTGAATGGCTCAATAGTATCAATAAAGACAGGAGCTCAGTACGATTGGAGAATTGCCTGGCAGCAGCGGAAGAGAAAGTTCTCCGACTGCATTGGTCTGAGGTTATTTATCCACGTTTCATCCACAAGGAAGGCTTTATTGTAGGTAGGAAATGCCCTCTTGGTCCCATGCTGCCTCCACTGGAGTGTCGGAGTCCTGGGGATGGAGGAATCACCAGCGTTGATCTTGTAGACCCTAAAGTCAGCCCTCAGTTCTCATTTTCAAATGTTCAACAAGACTTAGTGAGCTCACCTGTCACTGATTCAATTTGTGGTTCTGTTTTGGATTGCATGGAAGGTGAATATGTGGAACTAAGCCCTCCAAATAAATCAAATAATGGAAAATTGGACAGCTATAGAGACACATGGGTAAATAGGGCCAAGACAGCTCCAAGCAGAAAGGGCAAGAAGATGGGATACCAGGCTTGGTTGCATGAGAAGAAACCAGGAAAGGTTGGGTCTTTGAGCACTTTGAAGCAGAGAACTCAAGATACATGGAAAGAAAGATTGTGCACAGGAGCATCTGAAGACCAAAGTAAGTCTACAGTGGATAGCTCAAATTATTGGAATGCAGATGCAACAGAATGTTCCAATGAGACAGACTTGTTGAGTGAATGGAGAAAAGGCTTGGATCTTCTTCAGAGACATGATGACTGTGACATCCCTTCTGAGAGGCAGGACTGGATTTCCTCTGAGAGTCCAACATGGGTTTCAAAAAACTATTCACAGGAACAGAGGGTGGAAAGCGTGGGAGCAGATAGGACTGAGCCCATAACTGGTTGTCAGGAAGATGACATTTTATCAAGGACAATAGAAGGATTCTCCCTGAAAATAAATATAACTGATGAAAGCCATAAATTGCTTTCCACAGAAAACTCTGTATATATCACCAGTGACTGCGGAGCTGTACCTGGAGATGATGTACAACAGGCTTCTTCTATACAGTGCCAAAATAACACATTAAAGGGTAATCTTAGAAGCCTGGTAGGCAACTGCCCAGTAAATTTCCAGTTGGGTTCCTTAAACAAAGCATTGAAAGATGAAGAAGATACAATTTCCGTGGTCTCTCATGCTAAAGAGTCATTGTTAACCAAAACAGATAGGACATGGGCAGATGGTCAAGAAACTTCAATCATACATGGTAGACTTGAAGAAAGTACCACTGTGGGGGGTACACAGTTACCATCCAGTGAGATAAGACCACATGAAGATCAAGAAAAGCAACCGACCTGGAGCCATATTACTGATACTCCACAAAAAACAGGGAGAGGACGACGAAAAAAAAGAAACAAGAGAGGAAGGGGGCCTTTAAGGACAGAGGCAAACAAGGGAATTACTAAAACCTCAGAGCCTAAAACAGATGCCGGGAAAGAAGTAACTGAGACTATCAGCAAAACCAAAGAAGATGAAGAAAGAAAACCAGACATTGAAAAAAATGATGAGAGCCAGATGGGTAAGCTTTAACATGACCCCTTCACCTCTTCTAAATCAAAAGATAGCTCACAGTCAAATACTTGTTATCAGTGAAATAAAAAGATGAACTAAAAGAATTAAGTCTAAATGCTATTACTTACTATTATTGAATGTTAAATATAACTGGTCATATTTTACTGTAGGTTACTCATGGTTGACTTTGCGATTTGTGCAGGGCATTAGAAATGGTCTTAAAGATACAAGCCGTACATAAAGTAGATGCAGACATTATAGAAAAAAATTATGTTTTTAGTACATTTTGCAGTCACTCATGCCGCATAAATAGACCTCCCCATTATGTTAGCAGTTGTGTTCACATGCTAAACTGTCAGTGATTTCTCAGCAGAAGCTCTGCCCCCACCTGCTGTCATCCACACAGTTAAGGTGCCGTGTGTGGAATTAAATGTGGACGCAGATCAGCCACTTTCCCAGAACCCCTTGCTACCCGTGTCTCCCTCTGATGGTTTGAAATGTCTGCATAAAGATGTCAACTGGGATTTAATGGAGTCGGGCTTTATCTGTTTGACTGGTAAGACGTAAAACGTGATGATGATGAGATGGATGGTTTTTGCAGTGCAAAAATATTAAAACTCCTCTCAATGTCAAAATTCCCAAAAATCATTAGTGAAAACAATATTTATTTATTTTTTACCACTATATAGCTCTTGTTCTATTTATTTTACAGGCGGACAGGACAGAGACAAGAAAGCATTGCTGGTCATTTGTCCAAGTAAAGCAACAGCAACTTACAACCACAGTGACATTGTGCAGACCGTCTCTTATCTACACTCTCTACTTAGGTATGATATTGTAAAGCGCTACGGAATCTGTTGGTGCTATATAAATGGCAATAATAATAATAAAATATGCGGTAAAGGAAAGGGTGTTAACTGGGAGTGTTATAATGAAACAATATTTAAGAGTATATAAGATTTCAAAGATAACTAAATATCTATATATCATATGTATGTAGGTGCTAGCTCATAAAATACAGATTCATTTTTTGGTGTTCTGCAATGAGTGGATCGTTTTGTTATATTTAGAAAATCCGTTGCATGGGAATGTTGTTTACAGTAAAAATGTAGATTAGTGGTTTACAAACATCTAGATTTTGAAGACAGCTGGCATAGATGGCATCAAGTTAGTTGTTATTTATTAGAACTTAGGGTTTTAGCTTTCTCCTGAAGGCTTTGACTCAATCAAAACTCCTCGGAAGTCAAAGGCAACCCGTGGCACTTCAAACAGATAACATTCATTGACGTGATTAATTTGCAAACGTAACTTTTTTTTTAGATGCACAGTTGACAAAACATTTGTAGATTCCTAGAAAACGCCACAATAGTAGACGAGACTGAGTTGTTAGTTGTGAAACATAATAAGAAGAGTCAGATTGTTGAATTGACGTGTTCCTTCCTCTTGCACACAGACCTGAACTACGTGATTTGGGCATAAACCTCATCCTGGATCTCCGAGACTGTACAACACCCAATGAGTGCCTCCTCCAGACACTGAAAGATAATAAGGTATATTCTCTAAGGCAGTTTGTGGAGTACACTGACTTAGGGTTTTTAAATAATCTGTTCTGGGGTGAATGACATAACATCAAGCAAGGTGTTAGGAAGCCACGTAACCAAGAGATGGTTACATTCAGGTAAAAGCAAGAGGCAGAACTGCATTTTTATAATGGCATTAATGGCTTGTACTATAAACATCCTTTATAATATACAACTGTGCTATTAAATCATGTGTAAGATCTTTATTTATAATATTCCCTTTATGTGTTTACTTACAGGACTCCTTAAGTCACTTTATAAACTGCACTTTAATAGTCTGTGACAAAGAGAATTCTGCAACTGTTCCCAGTGACCTGCTCAGTTCACAGGCAAGTACGCAACTAATACCATGACAGTCATGTGTAAAGTAAACCTGTCCACATGCCTGTATAATCCTGTTCCCCATCACTGTCATATTATTATTTGAATGATATGTCATTTCCAATATATTCACTTTGCCTTACCTCTTTGTACTTTATACAGTATTATTCACAGCATTACTATTTTAAACATATATCTGTATATACCATAAAGCAGTAATTGACCGATAGAAATAATGTTGATAGACAAAAGAGGTGAAGAGGACTGCATTCTGTCTAACATTCCTTCTTATATTACTCCTACAGGTGTCAGTTGTCTTGTCTTCAGAGATAACGCAGTTCATTGATTTGGAGGAACTGCCAGAGAGCTTTGGTGGAGAGAGACCTTATGTTCCCTCTGAGTGTGTTTGGGGCCAGCGGGTGAGACATACAACTACACACCCAGCATGTGTGGGGCTGTCATGTAAGACACAGAACTATGTGCATGTTACATGGGTTGGGGGAGACTTAAATGGGATCTATTACATGATTATGTCTATTTTGTGTAAGGAAAAATAAATAGCCACATGCACTGAACTGCACTGAGACTCTTTGCATGTACTCATTTCAATGTTCCCTTCTACAATCTCTAAACTGAAAGCATTGACATTGTGTGTAAGAAATTAATTTTGTGACCTTTTTTCTGACTTTTTCTAATTGTAAGTGTTCTGTGTGATAGATGGGTGTACGGCATGGGTGTACATGTGTAAATGGACAGATAACCTGTATATCATTACCAATATGGTAAAGTGCTAGTTGTATCAGTTAATATTAATCCTGACAAATGTTCTGCTTCATAGAAAATGCTATCTTATTTTGAAATATCTTAACACAATTAAATGCAGATTTTTCCTGTACACTTTTTATCACTTTGGCAAATTAATTACCTCTGGAAATGATGTACATACTGGACTGTTCAGTCATCTCAGGGAAACTTTTAAAATCATTGGGAGATCAGTTTGTATCCTACTTTTCATCACTTTTTTAATTACACCTCAAGAGACATGCTTTGATTAGTTTATATATTGGAAAGGGGTAGGGGATATAGATGACAGCTTTTATCCGTACACAATCCCAGTTACAGTCTGTTCATTTCACAATACATGCACCCACTTACGTTTATCCAAAACAGCATTAAAGGGACACCATAGTCAACAAAACATGTTTAGCTTAATAAAGCTATTTTGATGTATAGGTCATGCCCCTGCAGTCTCACTGCTCAATTCTCTGCCATTTATGAGTTAAATCACTTTGTTCTTGCTGCTTTAGTCACACCTCCCTGCATGTGACTTACACACCTTTCATAAACACTTCCTGTAAAGAGACAGCTAATGTTTATACTTCCTTTATTGCACATTCAGTTTAATTTAGAATTTATTATCTCCTGCTCCATTATTAACTTGCTAGACTCTGCAGGAGCCCCCTGTATGTAATTAAAGTTTAACTTACAGAGCAGGAGATTAAAAAAAATAAACATAAAGTTACATCTGATTGAAAATGTAACCATTTTTTTCATGTAGGCTGTGTCAGTCACAGCCGGGGGAGGTGTGGCTAGGGCTGCATAAACAGAAACAAAAGTGATTTAACTCCTAAATCGCAGTTAATTGAGCAGTGAGACTGCAGGAGCATGATCTATACACAAAGACTGCTTCATTAAGCTAAACTTGTTTTGGTGACTATAGTGTCCTTTTAAACAATACATTGAGTGCCCCAACATATGTCATAACGCACACTGCATTACTAAAACCCCTATAAACACACACTGCAAGGGAGCCCTAAGTAAGATTTTTTTCTAGTGTCTAAAACAAGTGTGGGAGGTTATTAAAGTGACCAGAGCATAATGAGTTACACAGAATGTAGAATTTTATTTAAAAATGTGCTAAATAATTTTGGAAATTTACAATTACAATATTTAGATATCGTTTTCATTCACTAATCAATATTGTAAAAATGTGGCTTTGTTCTTAATTACTACAGACATTCTAATAGAAATACAATAACATTGCAAAGTAATACAATACAAAAAAAAAACAATTCTCCAAATTTTGCTCCTCACACAGATATCGCTCTCTAACCATCATCCTACTGTCAATGTTTTGCATTTATTTGTTATGACTTTTGCTTTTTTGTTTGGGTTTTCTTTTGCAGTCTCTGGGCAATCTTTACACTCTGTGCACTGATGTACTGAAGTCACTAGAGGATGTCATACATGATTTAGAGACTGACAGCATTCTGGTAAGGGTTTTTCTTTAACCTGTAGAAATCCTCATTAAATCTTTAAAGATGCTGATCAACATTCTCTGCTGTTGTGACACTTTTATTAGTAAACATGCTATTATAAATTCCCACAATTCTTCCCAGAATGTATTACTTAATCATGTACAATTTTCCCCTCTCATATCTGGGCTGATTTATTCATACTGTGACTTTGTGAGAGAAGGAAGGTGCAGTTGTAATTTGAAGGCATAATTGCAAAAACAAAAATTGAGCCAATCTTTCTTTTGGTGCATGATATGGATAATACATTAAAATATATTTAGAAACCAGCCAGTCATGATGCTCCTATAACATAACATTCTATGGCATTGCTGAGTTTATATTGCTGGAGATGTCAAATTTGTTAGTGTTCCACCACGACAATAGCCATAGTTTTGTATTCAGCTACTGTCCCCTAACACAGTTGTACTGTCACCAGATTTTTGAGACGTTATAACGTCAAATGCTTCTTTCATTATTCAAATTTTCAACATTCACTGATGGATTTATTAGGTCTATGTTCTTTTTGGAACAAATTCATTTTACTCCCATCTTGGCATGTCTTTGAAAATAATTTAATATGGGGCATTTTGAGTCTTTACACACACACACACATGTATTATTTTATATTCAAAATAAAAGAGGTGTGTAATCTCAATAATTACTGCATGTATTGTAATCAAATGTCTTATCTTAAACAATGGTCCCCTGATACAAAGATAAATAGAGTGGTATAGCGTAATTCATGCCGATTCGTCTTTTGATGATTAGACATAAGCTGGCAGTGGATCCAAAAAGCCCACTGTCAGACATAGTTACATAGGCTAAGCAGACATGTGTCTAAGTTCAGCCTTTCTCACATCTGTTTTTGCTGTTGAACCAAATGAAGGCAAAAAACAGTTTGAAGCTCTTTCCAATTTTGCTAAATCTTTTTGATTTCAGAATAACAGACAGATTTCTCACTGGATCAATAAGCTATTACCCAACAAATTAAAAGCTATATCCCTGAATATTATGTTATTGCAAGTATTCATCCAGTTGTTGTTTAAACATCTGTACAGAAATGTACAATTAAAATACACTTTTATCATTCCAAATGCTTACATATAAACTGACCCACCGTATAGGGGTATAGTAATGTTAACTGCATCGTCAACAATAAGCAGGATCCTGATTATGTATTTGAGACTTTACCTCTGTAGTAGAAATTCACTGATCTACTCAGGTAAGTTGCCTAACATTGATGGCAATGCAACTCTGTCTGAAAGCAGTTACTCAGTAGCTTCATGCTCATTGCTATGATTGCAGTAAGCATATCCAAAATGTTATGGTTTCTTTAGTTTTTGTTTTTAGAAAAAGTCACCCTAGCACTGCAAGGGTAACTCACATTAAAGCCATACGTGTGTGGATAGAAAATTGGCCTATCATTTGATTATATTAAAAGGTTTTTGAGGTTGAAGCAACAGTGCTGGGTCTTCTTTTTCCTTTTATTAAATCCACATGTCACTGTGTATAAGAGGCAAACAAATCCATTGGTTTTAACAACGTAGTCGCTAGTATGAAATGTGCAGACAGTTTGTCTTCTAGAGCCAGGTGTCTTTACAACACTCTAAGTTAGTTTTCACTATGCAAATGTTTCCTATTTATCAGGACCCTGAAGCATTAATAAGTCATCATCGAGATGCCATGAAGAAAGCATTGAGTGATGAGAGACTGCAGGTGCTGCAAAGAGATGGAGGAACATTAGTAGCAAGGTTGCAGAAGTCATCATACCTGAGGTAATTCTCAAACCAGGCTAGCCACCCCAAAACTATGAAAAGAAGATATGTGAAGATAAACAACTATCTCTAAATTGTATTGGCATTGACAGGTTTTATGACCCAGCAATCTTTGAGCTTTATGAGAAGGTGGATGAGGCTTTGCATCGCCTTGTGCAACTATCTAATCAAAAATTGCAAGAACTGGAGGAGAGACTGTCACCACAAGATTATTTTGACCGGACACTTGAGGTGAAGACATAAAAAATGAACACACCACCTTGGTGTCTAATTTATTGCTTAATCTAGGCATCGTGGAAACCAGTAGAAAATCTTGTTAATAAAAGTTAAGTACCTCAAAATGATGAAAGAATTATGGTTCTACAAAACTACAAGATTTCGTAGACATGACAACCCCCACAAATATACCTAACTGCTCTTGAAGATAATATGTGACAATTACTAAGCAGGGAGAACTATAAAGTCATTGGTCTCAGAAAGTGAAGCATGTTAAGGACTACTCAAAATGTTTAGATTAGCATACTAGTATAGGAGTGTAGACATGGGAGATTGTTGGCTTTCACTGTGTACACACCGTATTAAGCCATGAATAGATAATTATCCCAGTAAGTAATCCATCAATTACATTGTAGACATCATCAGTGAGAAAGAAAATTGGTAAGAGAAACAGGTCATCTCTGACACAGGCTTGCCACTGACTAAATATATTAAGTATAGTTTATCATCTTTGAACTTCTTTACAGGATTCCATGAGCCTTCAAGATACATCAAAGCATCAGTATCATGTGATGGAGGCCTTAGAGGAGGTAAGTAATGTGTGCTTTTGAAATATATCATTACTGGAATCATTACCCAAAAAATAGAAACTTTAACTTCCTCCTGTGGAATTATCAAATATCATGTCTATATGTAAGAGTTTTAAGCACTAGAAAGGGCATGTTTCTCCTAGTTAATAAACGTATCATTGCCTACAGAAACACTCAGGTGAGGAAGGCCAGAGTCAAACAGCAGAACCAGAAAATCGGAGGCTAGAGGTTGGAGTCAGGATTCGCGGTCTAGAGGTCAGCAGCCGAGAGCTAGCAGATCGGACTTGTAGCCCTCCTCGGGGCCATGTTCTCAGTAGAGGTGATGGAAGAGGACCTGATGCTCCCTGGGGAGGGATTCCCAAGCCAGAAGGAAGAAGGTAAGTTCTTGAAACTCACACAAAACTTATTTTATATGTTCCATTTCCAAGTGCTGTGCTCCAATTACTCATAGAAGGTTTTAGAAAACTACATTAGCTCTTTCTCTGACATATCATTGATTTACAAATGTTCTTAGTTTAATGTTGTGATTACTTTCTGTCAAACTGTAATGCTTTTTTTTTTTTAAAAACTAACAACTGGAATTAGGTCGGGACCCAGAAATCAAACAGGCTGTGTTTTAAAGGATCACTCTAGGCACCCAGACCACTTCAGCTTAATGAAGTGGTCTGGATGCCAGGTCCCTCTAGCATTCACCCTTATTTTTTATAAGCATAGCACTTTCAGAGAAACTGCTATGTTTATAATAGGGTTAATCCAGCCTCCAAATCCTCTAGTGGCTGTCTCATTGACAGCCGCTAGAGGCGTTTGCATGCTTCTCACTGTGAAAATCACAGTGAGAAGACGCCAGCGTCAATAGGAAAATGCTTTCCTATGAGACTGGCTGAATGCACGCGCAGCTCCTGCCGCGCATGCGCATTCAGCCGAAGAGGAGGATCGGAGGCGGAGAGGAGGAGGAGAGCTCCCCACCCGGCGCTGGAAAAAAGGTAAGATTTAACCCTTTCCTCTCCCCAGAGCCCGGCGGGAGGGGGACCCTGAGGGTGGGGGCACCCTCAGGGCACTATAGTGCCAGGAAAACGAGTATGTTTTCCTGGCACTATAGTGGTCCTTTAAGCAGAACTCTGTGAAAGAATTCAGTCTCTTCTGAAGTACTTTTGAAAAGCCAATGCAGTGACTGAATGTACAGGAAGTATGATCACATTTTGACAACTGCAAATTGTACTACAGTGTATTTACACTGACTTACTTTGCCTTTAACATGGTATTTGTATTTTTATTATGTTTTAGTTCTGTACATTGTGTCTTTTGGACTCTGGGTTTTATTTATGTAAGTCTATTACTATATGATGGTATCGTCAGACTATTGTCAATTAATGTTTCCATTAGGTCTCCCCAACGCTTACTTCTAGACCTCCTTTGCTCGGAGCGAAGCTACGTGCAATGTCTACGACGCTCTTTGGAGGCCAGAAGGTCTTGTCCAGCTAGCCTGGCGCTCAGAGGAAGTTTGGAGCAACTCCTTAACTTCCACACTTATTTTCTGAGAGAACTCCAGAACTGTGTATCACAGCCGCTGACTGTCTCATACTGCTTCCTTCAACATGTGAGATAACCCCGTTTAATTTCCTAATTCTATGTTTGCAGCTTTACCTTAATGTGATGTCAAGGGGAAGTCACTCTAAAGATTATCATAACAATTGTGCATTTGCTAAGTGTGGCCTAAAAATCAAAATAAAACAGCTGAACTAGTTTGTAAATTTTTTTATTAGAAAACAAACAAACATCAACATATATATGAGGTTTGCTGTTTTTTGTTTTTTAGGCAGAGCAGTTGCGTTTATATTCTCTGTATGTGAAAAACAGACAGAAGGTGGAGCTCTTCCTTCCAGCACCCAGCGGAAGCCTTAAGGTGAGAGAAGACTAAATGATATGATTGGTTAGTTATGTGGGACAATGATTCAGTATCACTGAATTCTAACCATCACGTGCATTCAGTACAGTACTAGAGTTAATATAATCCCCCCCAAAAATCTGTAAATTTCAGTGCTTTGCAAATAAAAACGAACAGAATACTTAATATTAACATTTTGAGCATGATCATATAAATCAAATATAAATTAGTGGTGGCACCATATAGGTACCAGTAAAATGTAGCCTCGCTTTTACACGCTAAAGTAACATACACAATGCTTAGTTTTTTTTAATGTTATGGATTTTATGCATAATTGCAACATTTATATTTAATATTTCAGATATATTGTTAGCATTTAAATGCAAAAATTACATGTTTGTGCTCAGTAGACGTCTGACTAATTTGGTTAACATGATAAATTATATTCAGTTCATACTATGTAGTTCACCACTGCACAATAAACTGTTGATTATTAAATACTAAAAATCTAAAATTTGAAAAAATTACTTCTACTTTAACCATTACTAATGTATACTTTTTTAGAAAGGAAAACTGTAATGAAGAAATAATTGCCAAACTCAAAATACAGAAAAAACTAATTGACACTTAAATAAAAAAGGAAATCTCATATATACTATATCAGTCTCCAGTACTATTAAATTACTAATGCCAGTTTAGCTAGAAATGTATCCATCTCCTGTTTTTTATTTATTTTTTGATTGATTATTTGTGCTGCTTATCAAATGCCATACTATAAAAGATTGCTAAATCAGCACAATACTCCTTCCCCCAACAGAAAACAGAGAAAGTGATTGATTTATGAAATTATGAGACCTAACCGCCTGGAATAAATGTGCTAGGCAAGTCATTTTTACATCTGTTTGAGAGAACAGAATGCTATTTTAAACACGGTAATTCCATTAATATGCTCAAATTAGAGGTTCAGAACCTCATGGACTGATGGAAGTTTCATCTAATATATGTGACTGCAAGTTAACTACTGATCAAGTTTAATATATTTTACACTGTGCAGAAGATTGATGGCTCACTACTTGTAGATCACATCTGGATCATATACAATCAGTAAGTAAAAAGCAACAACTGATCAAGAGCAGGTTCAACAAATTCAGAACATAAAAACTTGTATTATCAAGGTTTTACCAATCAAAAAAGGCTGTCTGACATTTGCTGAATTTATTGTCAATCAGGTATTTAAATGCTATGTGTTGGTGATTGTAAATAGTTTATATGTTCTAGTCCAGTATTTATTCCTGCCATTAGGAGCAGGAGCCCTTCTAGAATTGCAACAGCTTTGATGCTTTGCCAGCCATATTGTTATCTTGGCACCTCTACTTTCTTTATTTACATTAACTTATTTGGACAGGGCAGGAGGAGGGACCAAAAGGAAGAGGAGGAAACATGGGCGATTCTACAAAGACCACTGGAGCAACTTGAGCAGTATCAACGGTTTCTGGGTGATATGATGCAAGAGTGTGATCAGGAGGACGAGCACGAACAACAGTCTCTGCACACAGCTCGGGAGCTGGTGGGGTCCCTTGTGCACCATGGGAAGAATTTGTTGGCTGCTGAAGCCATCCGCGGGTTTGAGGTGAGTGTTAAAGAAAGCATAATTCTCCAGCTAGGCTTTTCACCATGGACAGGAGAGAATTGAAAATGTGTATTGAATGTACTGCTGATAATGCCAATGAGTTTTACTGTGTTTGGTACTGTCCTAAAATTAAAGAAATCAAGATATATTTATGTAACCATGCAATGCTTACTACCAGCCACTACAAAATTCATTTTAAAAGGGCTAATATCCACTCAAAACATTTATTTTAAACTATTTCTTGCTCTCTATGGAATGGCTTCATATACTCCATAATAAAGAGCTAATGACCAAAACATTTCTTACTAACTTGGAAACATTCCACCCCCATTTAGATCAGATTAAAATGTAGAATATACTGCCTGGCACCCTATGCAACCCCCTGCCCTCACCTCCACATCCCTGGTACTAAATTACCTTCATCGTAATAGCTCCTACTGCCTTAACCCCTAAAGGACACATGACATGTGTGACATGTCATAATTCCCTTTTATTCCAGAAGTTTGGTCCTTAAGGGGTTAAAGGTCACCTGTCCAAAGCTACTGTAGCACTTTTTAAGGTGCATGAAATTTCATCACTACATTGTGCAACAGTTTTGCTAACAAATGTATAGATTGGGAGAAATTAAATTAAAATTGTTTGTAACCCACCTGTCAATCAATTATTTGGCATAGACCGTCTGCTGAGGAATTCATTAATAAAGGAGAGCAGAAGAGACCTCCCACATGCGGTCTTTCTGCTCTCCAACCATAGCAACCACAGGGCTGCTAGAACTGGCTATGAGGCATTGGAATGGAAAGCCAACGTCTTTGCATCATTGAGGAGGTATGTCCTGCATGGGGAAGTGTCCTCAAGCAGAGCAAGTAAGTGAATATAGCAGGAAGAGGAAGGGAGGACCAGAGATGGGTGTTACAGAAGTGTAACACTCACCTCTCTAATGAGATCGCTGCATGGGAGCAGAGGCTGAGGTAAATGGTGTTAGGCTTCATTTAATACTCCACTAAAACACTCCCATAGAGGGACTTGACTTGGTTGTTTATGCTTATTTGTATCTTGTTCTATATATTATATTGTTTTATGATGGAAAATCACTAAAACTCTGAAATGTGTCCACTTTTTACAATGTTTATTTTTATTATACAATGTTACTTTATACTTCTAAAAGAGAACGTGATGCTTTACTCTATCCTTCTGACAAGTATCATTCTCACTATACACTGTACAACTGCCTACTTATTGTACTTTATGCTCTGCACACTGTTTCTGCCACATTCTCAATAAAAAATGTCATAACAAAAGAAAGAACATTTGATTCACTTGCAGTCTTTCAAATGGTATTATATCAATTTATAATGAAATTGTAGAAATGTTTCCAGTGTTTTAATGACAGTATGGTATATTAGAGGTCCTTGTGCAGAAGTGTAGGGATTATGATTTTGGTTGTTTAGAGTTAGAGGGTACTTAGCTTCAAGGTGCTGATGACTGTAATTCCCATGATTTTCATCCAAACTAAGTTTAGTGACATTTTGAATTGCACTGTGACGATGTTGCTGAGCATCCTTCCAGCGTTGGTAAAACAATGACGATGATTTAAAATGCACACTTTTAAATACATACCAGCATATTTTGTTTGAAACTAGAGCCTACAGTAACATTCTTTACACTTGACATGTTAAAATACTTATTATGAAGTGACATAAAACAAAAAATACAGAAAGAGAGAAGCGTTAATAAAGGGAGAATATAATATGTATTCATTGCAAATCTGAAATCATATGCAATGCTATGTAGGAGTGAACATGGTGGACCAATAGATTGGACATCCCTTGTTTTTGTATAGGGTGAAGGTTTGTTTTAAAAAAAAAAAAAAATTTGACTCTTAAGCTTTGTAGGTATTCAGACAGGGACTTGGCATCCCCTGGTTCATGATTTTTGTGCTTGGGTGCTGGGCGAGCCCCTGACACACCACTCTGATTACCCCTTTTCCATCATAGGCAAACAAGTAGGGACCATTTGCTTGGTGCCTTCTCAAAATGTCTTTCCCACCAGTCCCACATAAACATGGTAGAGCCTCCCTAGTTAATATCGGGCTCCTGGGGACAGCAAAACTTATTATTCATATTTAATTCCCCCCAACCTATGCATCAAGTCACTGGTACACTATGAAACATGACTGATGATTGCTTAGAGAAACCTTATAGAATGTTGCCCATTTGTGGACATCTTTTGGCCTGAAAATCCATAAACACATATGTAATTTGTGATGGAGTGCTTGGGGTGCTGCTTAGTTGCATAAGCTAGTAAATAGAATTTTGCTGCAAACATGTAAATCTTATCGAAAAGGCGGCTGCAAAAACTAGGTAAGTCGAATCTTATGTATAAGTGTGTAATAAACTGACACAGAGACAGAGAGAAAAAAAAAACACATTACATGCATAAAAGACACCTTGACATTCTACAAATACATTGGAACCTTAGAACTCGAACTTAATTTGTACAAGAAGGCTGTTTGAGAACCGATTTGTTCGAAAACCGAATCAAAATTTCCCATAAGAATTAATGTAAATTAGATTAATCCGTTCCAGACCCCCAATGTTACAGCATTTTAACACAACGTTTACAGTTTAATAATACCTTACATGCATAAAATCATACAGAAAAACAACACAATGTAAATTAAATGAAAATGTAACTTCACTTTAACTGTCAGCTCTATTTGCTGACAGAATGGAGCTGTTCACTAACAGAATAGAGCTATGTTCGCTTTGTCTAGTGCTAGGAGGCCATTAGTGTCATACCAACGAGGTTAATGCCGTGTTGAGACATTCCTTTCTCAAATTTTATGTTTGACAACAGAATTGTTCGGGTAAGGGAGCATTGCACTTCCGAGGTTCCACTGTATAAAAATATGGAACTCAGTGTCAAACTGATTAAAGTGGTTTATAACCAAACCTGAAACGTAAGATTGACATTGATTAACAACAATATATCTCACCAAGAAAGCTTTAGTCAATTCATAGACACACATAGACCATGTTTCAGATGGAGCCCCTGAGCATGGTACTGAGTAAAAAGTGAACTACATTTTTTTCATGTGAGAAATTCACAATAATTTCATGAGATGAGTGCATAATTTAGCTACCATCATACCATTATAATCACAGTGTCCTTTTCTTCATTTTACACTCCAGGTGCTTTAACTTAACCCTAGTTGGCTCCCGGTGTTGTCCATATCCAAGAACCCAAGCATAACTTTCTTGCTCTTATTGGCCAAGTAATGTAATGTGTTATATAGATAATGCATTAAAAAGTATGCATAAATGCTCCTGTTAGTTTATATACAGACTTGTCCACAGGTTTGTGCAGCAATGTCCAGGGGAAAGGAAATAGGGTTATCCAAGTTGTGTGTATGACAAATACTTATTATATATTCTCAACTTGGATGGATCACATATAGTGAAAGCAAAATTTTAAATTTTGACTTTTGAGGGCCAAAAATATGCATTGTGTGTTTAACCTGCTCCACTGTGGTACTCTGCAGATGTGAACAAAATAGTAAAAAAACAAAAAGTTAGCATTTAGTAATTCTAAAAAAAACCCAGAGTGAGGAAGACAGAATGCTTTATAAGATTAGACAGAGGCTAAGCAACTTATAAGAGCTTCCAAATCACACACAGAAGAGAAAATAGCACAGTCAGTAAAAAAGGGGGACAAAACATTTTTTAGATACATAAATGAGAAAAGAAAAGTAAAACAAGTATTAGTTAGATTAAAAACAAAAGAAGGAAGGTATGTAGATGAGGATAAAGGTCTAGCTGACTGTCTCAATGAATATTTTTGTTCGATATTTACAGATGAAAATGAAGGAAAGGGACCTCAGTTAGGAAAAGGGACAAATAAGTCATTTATTACATGTGAGTTTACAGAGGATGAGGTTCTATTTCAACTGTCAAAAGTAAAGACAAATAAGTCAGTGGGGCCTGATGGAATACACCCAAAGTTATTAAAAGAGCTTAGTGGTGTACTAGCAAAACCATTAACAGATTTATTGAACCAATCATTGTTAACAGGAGTAGTCCCAGAAGATTGGAAGTTAGCGAATGTTGTGCCCATTCACAAGAAAGGTAGTAGGGAGGAGTCGGGCAACTATAGGCCAGTAAGCCTTACTTCAGTAGTGGGGAAAGTAATGGAAACCATGTTAAAGGATAGGATTGTTGAACATCTAAAAATACATGGATTTCAAGATCAGTGACAACATGGGTTTACTTCAGGGAGATCATGCCAAACTAATCTTATTGATTTTTTTGATTGGGTAACTAAAATTATAGATCAGGGTGGTGCAGTAGACATTGCTTACCTAGATTTCAGTAAGGCTTTTGACACTGTTGCACATAGAAGGCTTATCAATAAACTGCAATCTTTAAGTTTGGATTCCAATATTGTTTAATGGGTAAGGCAGTGGCTGAGTGACAGGCAACAGAGGGTTGTAGTCAATGGAGTATATTCAAAGCTTGGGCTTGTCACCAGTGGGGTACCTCAGGGATCTGTACTTGGACCCATTCTCTTTAATATTTGTATTAGTCATATTGCAGAAGGACTTGATGGCAAGGTATGTATTTTTGCTGATGATACCAAGATATGTAACAGGGTTCATGTTCCTGGAGGGATAAGCCAAATGGCAAATGATTTAGGTAAACTAGAAAAATGGTCAGAGTTGTGGCAACTGACATCTAATGTGGATAAGTGCAAGATAATGCATCTTGGACGTAAAAACCCAAGGGCAGAGTAAGGAATATTTGATAGAGTCCTAACCTCAACATCTGAGGAAAGGGATTTAGGGGTGATTATTTCTGATGACTTAAAGGTAGGCAGACAACGTAATAGAGCAGCAGGAAATACTAGCAGAATGCTTGGTTGTATAGGGAGAGGTATTAGCAATAGAAAGAGGGAAGTTCTACAAAAATGGAGAGAAAGGAAGCAGAGATAGTGTATCAGGTTGCTAAATTATAATGGGGGGTAACCCCTACACTTAAATTACTAATAAGAAAATAAAACACTTACAAGAATTCCAAAAGGTAAATGAATGTCTAACAGCATTCACTTTAAGGATCTTGTATATTATCAGCAACCCTAATTAATCATCTCAGAAAAATTGTAAAATATATCTTTTAATAAATAAAGTTAAAATAACTGTAAGAGTAAACTAATATTTAAAAACATAAGAGGTACAACAACAAGAGAAAGTGATAGCTTGACCGTGCTGCCTATATCAATTTGCAACACCAGTGGTACAAGGGTATAGGTGGTATAAGTGTAGAGAAAATAATGTAAATATGAATATAAAGAAGGGGTATAGTAATGATTCTCAGAAGAGTATCCCCCAACTCCCATCACCCTTGCCCACACTGTCAGCACACTCTCATTCCCCTCTATAATTCAACAGGAGCCGATCAATCTTCCCGGCTACCTAAATAATAAAGCTGGGTGGCTAACATGGAAGAAAATAAATCTAAAGGCTGCAGCTAGGTCCCCTGTCCACCTCTTCCACCCTTATGCTATCAAAAGTCCCGACGCGCATTTCGCCGACTAGCGGCTCTTCCAAGAGAATCGAATCAAAGCTGATCGTTTTTTAAAATATCCCGCCCTTCATCCTGATTGGTTCACATTTTCACCAACATAATTGAGGGAAATAGAGAGGGGAATTAACCCATTGTGTTCGGGTATACAAAAAGCAAAATAATAGGATAAAAAATGTCATTAGTATTAAATGTACTGCAATGTTAAGAAATAAAGAAAAAACTTATTTATAATAAAGAAAAAACTTTAGGCAAACGGTGAAATGATATGCTAATAAACGCTCATACACTAACTATGAATTTAATGAGTACATTAAAGTCTCATGTCCTAGTGACTGTCTAAGTCTGTTAGGAAACTCCTAAGTGAATACTTAAAGAATTATAAATGTAACTCTGAGGTTGTTACAATTATTGTCTCATTTTATCTCAATGTAACTAATTACAGTTATAGAGGAATAGGTTTTGAGTCCATTGAAATAGACCTGCCCAATTGGTTATAATGTGACTAGTTATAGATGGGGGTTAGATCTGTAGAGGAATAAGCTTTGTAATAAAAACATCTATATAGAAACCAGCACAGGTCATAACTTTTATGGTTGAGATAGAGATACAAAGTCCCATTATCAACCATGATCGCTGGATATATCATGGCGAAAGGAAATGCACAAACTGTAATTACAGTGATTCATATAAAAGTGCATAGTTGCCATTATTACCTATATCTAGAAGACGTGTCTTAACAGAAGAAACCACATAAATGTCACTTTCTGAAAAAAGCAACTCGAGGTACAGAATCTCGTTGTTAGTCATAACCCTTGAGTGTCTCTTAACCTTATTAGTATTGTTATATACAATAATTACCAAATATGTCCTGTATAAATTTATAAATATGTGCAGTATATAAAAATAGTGATATTAAAATACACAAATACAGTAGGTGAGTAAAAATATATACAGAGTGTTTGAAGTATATACAGATAGTAATGTATAATACAAATATATATACATGAGGCAAATATAGATGTCCTAATTATGGGAGAAAGAATTAACCATAATTTTTAATGATAAAATCAAACAGAGATTTCTAATATTTCTCCCATTCAGACTCAATATAGTGGGAGTCAGTATGCCCCATGATTTATTCCAAATCCCATGGGGTGTATGTAGACCTCAGACGTCGTCTATGCTCCCTATTTAGGAGTGAATGAATGGGGTGAAATTGAATTCTTCGTTCAGTCCAGTTCAGGATATAATGTTTGAAATAAATAAATCCAACGGGACTCAGCTTTCAATAAAGATATATTAATATCGCCTTTCCGATGGTTAAGAAATATTTTTTGTATCACCTGGAATTTAAGTACATTGGGTTTAGAAGCATGATTCACTCGTACGTGTTTTGCAACTGGGGTCTCAACATGAGAATTAGTGATGGAGTTAATGTGTTGCAAAACCCGTCTGCGTAGTTGTTGATAAGTTTTGCCAATGTACTGTAACCCGCATTCACAGGTTATGATATATATGATGTTGAACCAATCAGGATGGAGGGCGGGATATTTAAAAAACCGATCAGCTTTGATTCGGTTCCCTTGGAAGAGCCACTAGTCGGCGAAACGCTCGTCGCGACTTTTGATAGCATAAGGGTGGAGGAGGTGGACAGGGGACCTAGCTGCAGCCTTTAGATTTATTTTCTTCCGTGTTAGCCACCCAGCTTTATTATTTTACTATGCTCAGTCAGGTAGCCGGGTAGATTGATCGGCTCCTGTTGAATTATAGAGGGGAATGAGAGTGTGCTGACAGTGTGGGTAAGGGAGATGGGAGCTGGGGGATACTCTTCTGAGAATCATTACTATACCCCTTCTTTATAGTCATATTTACATTTATTAATCGTATTTCCTCTACACTTATACCCCCTATACCCTTGTACCACTGGTGTTGCAAATTGATATAGGCAGCACGGTCAAGCTATCACTTTCTCTTGTTGTTGTACCTCTTAAGTTTTTAAATATTAGTTTACTCTTACAGTTATTTTAACTTTATTTATTAAAAGTTATATTTTACAATTTTTCAGAGATGATTGATTAGGGTTGCTGATAATATAGAAGATCCTTAAAGTAAATGCTGTTAGACATTCTTTTACCTTTTGGAATTCTTGTATGTGTTTTCTTTTCTTATTAGTAGAAAGAGGGAAGTGCTCATGCCATTGTACAGAACACTGGTGAGACCTCACTTGGAGTATTGTACACAGTACTGGAGACCGTATCTTCAGAAGGATATTGATACCTTAGAGAGGGTTCAGAGAAGGGCTACTAAACTGGTTCATGGATTGCGGGATAAAACTTACCAGGAAAGGTTAAAGGATCTTAACATGTATAGCTTGGAGGAAAGACGAGACGGGGGGATATGATAGAAACATTTAAATACATAAAGGGAATCAACACAGTAAAGGAGGAGACATATTTAAAAGAAGAAAAACTACCACAACAAGAGGACATAGTCTTAAATTAGAGGGCAAAGGTTTAACAATAATGTCAGGAAGTATTACTTTACTGAGAGGGTAGTGGATGCATGGAATAGCCTTCTAGCTGAAGTGGTAGAGGTTAACACAGTAAAGGAGTTTAAGCATGCGTGGGATGGGCATAAGGCTATCCTAACTATAAGATAAGGCCAGGGACTAATGAAAGTATTTAGAAAATTGGGCAGACTAGATCGGCCGAATGGTTCTTATCTGCCATCACATTCTATGTTTCTATGTAAACATTGCCATTTCTACAAAACTGCAGTGTTTTACACTGCAGGGTTAAAAGTACAGAACCATTGCATCCTGACAATTTAATTTAGATGGTGTGGTCTGAATGAATTTAGTGGTCCTTTAACTTAACCACTCCTAGGATTTCTACGTGTCAGTCCATGTTTTACAGCAATGCAAAAACACACAAAAAATAAATCCAATTTTGTGAGGATAGCATGAAAATGTTGAATACTATGAATCAATATGGAAAACAAAGTCTGGCCTACAATCTGGACAATACGGTATTTAAGAGGTGTTTAATTAGTCCCTAAGAGGCTTATGAAGAAACTATTTAACAGGCAAAACATGTTTGTTGTGAGAAGTATTGCTGAGGTCAACTAGATTTATTGCTATGAATATTTACAGTATCGTGCTGCTTCTAAGGCAGAGTAGCTTTACAGAAACAGTCAACAGAAAATATTTCCGAAGAGAAATCGGAATAAGCTTTTTTTACTCATTTATTAATAAATAGTTCTAATATTTCCAGCATAGTACATTTCAGAAAGAAATGCTATATACTATCTGGATCTGCCAACTTTCTCTGGCTCATAGAGGACATGAGAGATTGTATGCCCTAATATTGCAGCACATGATTTCTTTATTGTTCTAAAGTCTCTTATGTTTAATGTTCTGTTAGAGATAGTAAGGCTCTGTGACTTTACCATTTTGTGCACCATCAATGTTCTGTAAGAGACAAGGCTGACCTAGGTTATAACTTTACAAAATGTGATTGGGGGGAAGGGGTGAGAGACAACTTTTATATTCATTAAAGTTTATGAAATTGTCTGGTTGAATTATTTGTAAAAATTTGCCATTTTGTAACAGCTTAAATGGAAACTATAGTGCTAGGAAAACAAACTTCTTTATTTAACAAACTTATTTATTAAACATATTGAACTATAATGCCCCTCTGCCCTGGTTTAGGCTTCTCCTATGCTGACATCAACTGGCAGGGAGGACGTAAAGCGCATGTGCAGTGAGCACTGAGTTCGCATTAGGACTATTCCTTAGGATTAGCACCCCATAAAATTAATGTATTCTCACTGCCAAATTGTGCTAAGATAACCAGTCAAAATAATCAACATTGCACATTAATGTCAAAGGGTGAGAGTTATCACAGTGCTCTGTTCTAAAAAGTGGAACAGAAATATAAAAGTGTAAGATTCACCAATGCAATGTGTCTTCTGGTTCCACTGGTTTCCGTGGTGATTGCAACACATGTAGTGCTTTAGAAAAAATTTTTTAAGAACAGAACACTTTTATACATCTCCCCTAATGTTCCTTTTGCTAATCAATTCTACAAAGCTCCTCTTTGGCTCCCTATTTATGCTTTACAAAAATCGGATTCCTCATACATCCCTACACTCGTATTTTATATTAATAAACTCTTCTCATTACATTTCCATATCTTCTTATCCAGTTTACAAGACTGTTCCTGAACTGCCCCCATACTCAATAGTATGTGATCTTTCTTAACATCTTCACATCTCTACAACACTCACTCAGTATTGATCAACACAATAAACCCCATCTCTCAAGAATGAAAAAAAATGCATTTGATTACCTGTATATTAAGTCTATTAGTTGTTGTTTTTCATTTTGTTGTTCTTAGGTTGATGAGAAAGAGCATGGTCGGCTTCTGCTCAAAGACGTGTTCACTGTATTGTCGGGAAGAAAGAAGTCTCTCCGGCACGTCTTCCTCTTCCAGAAGCTTCTGCTTCTCAGCAAACTCAAGACCGCAGAAGGAGGTCTGGAAACCTATGGCTTTAAGCAGGTGTTTAAGGTAAGGAGGCAGGTCACCTATATGGCTGAATAACTTATGCCAATGCTGATGCCAAGACTTTGTTTGTTTTGCAGTAACTCGAGCTAACCTACCTAGTATGAAAGAAACATAAAATAATTCTATTTTAAATATTAAATGTTGTCAACTTGAAATGAATTCATTGGGTAACCTACCATCTGTAGCTTTTTTCTTCTTACATGTATCACCAGTCTTAGCAAAAGGGAATCGCTGATTGCTAGTGTGCACATTATTTTACTTATGTGGAATAATTTATTTTTTAACACTATACAAAAACATGGCTTATGTATAAAAAATAACTAAACGTCTCAGCATTAGCAGAGGAGACAGGGAATGTAGGGGGACCCCAAAGTGAACAGAATGTGGTTACAGTTGCTGCCACCCTGTGCTAAACTGAACACACTGGTCAGCTGAGGTCAGCATATTAGTGCCTAACCACAAAATATGCAAACAATGCAATGGAGATAGGCAAGAGGCGATTTGAAACATCATATCATGGCATTCGCTAGGTTAGTAAAACCTCTTTGCGGGTAATAAATGGTGATGTAAGTAGCGGAAGCACAATCATATGACACCAAAACACTGCTTATGCAGAAAAATAAAGATTATATTTAAACATAACTAAACATGTCAGCTTGAGCAGAGGAGACATGGAATGTAGATGGATAAAAGAGCAAAGTCCCGTAACACGTAGTAGTAGTAGATACTGTGGTTCTATGAGATGCCGAATATTTTGGGCACTCCAGGGGGACAATCCTCACCATGTCCTATTGGGTTAGTTGGCTGTAGACCAGGCTTTCCCAAACTCCGGCCCTCCAGATGTTGCTGAACTACAACTCACATGCTTCTCTGAATGAAATATATAGGCTGAGAATCATAGGAGTTGTGGTTCAGCAACATCTGGAGGGCCAGAGTTTGGGGAAGCCTGCTTTAGACCCAGTACACTGAAGAATTCCTTGGGGTCATCAGGAGAGGAAAGGTAACAATGGTTGCTGGCATGAGTCACACTAAAGTCTCTGCAAGGTCCCCATTTATAGAGTACACCTCTATCTCGGAGCACAGAGGTAACAGGAGAGTAGCATTTGTGCCATCGTTGGGTTTGATAAGGCAGGTCCCTGTAGATCATAAGCTTAAGATTGTTGATTATTATTCAAGTCTTTTGCAAGGTCGCCATTTTGTGTGAATCATTGGTGTATTGGGCTACCATATCACAAGGAGAGTCAGCTGTGGCTGTGATGGTCCTGTGTATTCTGCATGCCCAGTATACAGCTGGAGATACCATCACCTGGGGTACAGCCAGAGAATCCAGTTGGCCCTGAACAAACTGCAGCAGATCACTTGGCGTGTACTCTCCAGTGTACCTCACACATCCTTATTTCTCTGCTGGAGAAGCAGAGATTTCACGGATAACTTGATTATCTCCATTCCTTTTTTTTTGCATGGGTGAAGGTGTTGAAGCTAGCTTGTGCATAGGTGAGGCAGACTCAATGGTATCTTCTTTGGGATAGATCCACTTGACTCTGACTTGACTCAGTCCTAATGCCAAACACTAGTCCTCTCTGATCCTAATAATACATCTAAGTCATGCTGAGGGGAAAGGGAACAGTAAGACAATGATAATAACAAGGCAACTCAGCTCACGGTATTTGCTGAGCTGAGTACGTACTCAGAGCATGTCTAATAAAGAATTTGCTTTGTGAAAAGAGGAGTGTGTCCAAAGAGTGACATTAGACTGCAGGATATGCAGAATAAATAACGATTCTGGCACTCCAGGATAGAAAAAAAATAGCAGCTTTATTGCTGCAAAAACAGCAACACTTCGACCATCATAGCTTGCTAAAGACCCTTTAGGGTCGAAATGTTGCTGTTTTTGCACCAATAAGGCTACTATTTTTTTGTTATCCCAGAGTGCCCGAACCATTATTTATTCTGCATATTTTGGAAGGGAGGCCTGGCCAGCCCTGGCTTCAGAGCACCTGGGTTACTTGGTGAGTGCATTATCCAGTACGTCTCTACTATTAGACTGCAGGAAGCTGCTGATCTTTCTTTTTTAGCAAGACTATTAATGCATTTCAGTTATGTTGGAGCCTGGTTTATATAGAGTCCTTTTTAATGTAGATTTGAGGTACATCCACTTTTATAACTTACCTATGTAATGTGATTCACTTATAGACTGCCGACATGGGTCTCACTGAAAGTGCTGTGGAGGGAGACACAAGAATTGAACTATGGTTCCGTCGTCCAAAATCCAGAGAGACATTAGTCTTACAAGCTGAAAACTCTGGTGTAAAAGAGTGCTGGACTAATGAAATTACCAAACTGCTATGGGACCAAGGAGGACTAAGCAAAGGTGAGCACTGTCTGTCTTACAGGCTGTCTTAGCTGTTGCTCGGAACATGTTTATCAAATAATGTATCACACTGTGCTAAAGAGCAAGTAAGAAATAGTTCTTGCCTAAACTGTGTGTACCATCCCTGGATTTAAAGCTTGTTTACACTTTCAATTCTGTAATTCACATGCATGTTTTCCTGCTTCATCATTGTAATTGTAATATTGTTCTTATCACTTTTTAATTATAAACTATCCAAAGTACTATTATTAGGGGGTTTAGTGAATATATACACAAGAGGAATACAACAGCAGTAGATATAATAAAAGCTCCTGCTCACAAGAGCAATTTAGTAGCTCGTTAACATTGCCTGGAAGGTGTTCCTAAGAAGATCGTGCAAGGAATCCACAGTATATAGTTATGTGTGACAGGGTAATTTTGGATATTATGAACTGAAATAGACCAATTGTTTTAGCTGCATCATACTAATGCATAATGTTCATCTAATTTAATTTGTGACTACTTATCTTAGCACATACACCAGCAGTTAGTGGAGGGTGATGCTGACAGCCTAGAGGAACAGATATTGGAGGAGGGGTTGGCTTTTGCAGTCAAACTTATGAAAGCAGGCTAAAATCCTGGACCGGATTGCCTCCCCATCAAATATTTTGCCCAAATAGTATACACCCACCTTTTAAAGGCTTTTAATTCTATTGGGAGGAAGAGGGCAAATTAATTATTCAAAACAGGTGGTGTTGAATGTCAATCTCTCGGTGGCGAGGGCTGAACTGGCCCGCCTGAGTTTCTCCTTTCAATGGTCAACTACAGCCATTAAATATATGGGGGTGTGGATTTCAACTGACCCAGAAGACCTCTAGCACTTGAATTTTCCCTCTATGTGGTCAGTATTCCGTATGGACCTAGCAAACTGGTCACCTGTCCTGGCTAGGAAGGGTGAGCGTGTTGAACATGAACCTCCTTCCCAGACTCATGTATATTTTTCAAACACTACCTACAGGGCCGGTGCAAGGATTTTTTTTACTACACAGGCGAAGATGCATTTTGCCGCCCTCCCCCCCCAAATGCATCTTCACCTCTGTGTTTCATATCCCCCCTTTTTAATGTCTTACCCCTTTGTGCATTACATCCCCCTTTAGTGTGTCTCTTACAACCCCTCTTATGTATTTCCTACTCCCCCAGCCCCTTTGTGTCTCTTTCTTACCCCCAGCCCCTATCTCTCTTTCTCCCACATAGACATAGATACAGGCAAAAATACATATATGCACAAATACACAAACATACAGAAACACAAACATAGTTATTCAGGCACACATTCACAAAGATATACAGACACACAGTCATAAAAGGCACACAATCAAACAAACTCTACAATCTACACGTACAGCGTACATGTACACTGTCATACAAACACAGACATACATTCACACACACAGGCACACAGATAAATACAGACATAAAGAGACAGAGATAGGCATATAGAGATATACATAAACAGTGATACAGAGACATACATAAGCAGACAGTCATACAGAGACATACAGACAAGGTATACAGAGACATAATTACACAGTCTTTATGTCTGTCTTTATGTCTGTGTATGTACACAGGGTGGCTAAAAGATAGATCCCCATTTGCAACTTCAACAATGCTTTGAAAGCTGGGGCTCTACCGATTCCCCATGCTTGCAGGATTGTATTTAGCACTGAGCAGTATTTGTGTGTTTGAATATAAGCATGTTTTTGTATAGTGTATGTTTGTGTGGATGTAGGGATGTGTTTGTATGTAGTGTTTGCATTTGAATGCAAGCATGCATTTATGTGTAGTGTTTTTGAATGCAGGGCTGTGCTTATATATAATTTTGGTGTCTAATACAGAAGTGTGTTTGTATGTAGTGTTGACATTTGAATGCAGAGTTTTGTTTGTTTGTAGTGTTGATGTTGTAGTGTTGATGTTTGCATGCAGGGGTGTGTTCGTAGTTTTGACGTTTGTATGCAGGGGTGTATTTGTGTGTAGTGTTGGCGTTTTGAATGCTGAGATGTATGCACATATACACATATGCTGCCACACACACACTGTGATGCCACACTTTAAATTGTATTATCAGGCTTGCCACCTCTTGAATGGGAAAAAGAGGGGGTGGATGCCCATTGAAAGAAGGTGGAGGGGTCCAGGTGGGCAAACATTTAAATGCCCTTTTATGGTTGGATATAATAGGCAGGCATTTGGCCTCCATCAGCCCTTTTATAAGGGCAAAATTATCTGTCTGGCACAGCCACTGAGCCTATCCTCTTTTCCTTCACTATTAACACCATTAGTATTTAGCCCCTCCTTCTCCCTATGTTTTCACAAGCAGTCCTCTAGGTTCATCACAGTAGTGATCTAAAGTTGAATTGGCAATTTGAATTAAATGTTGAATGTTGTATGGATATATGTATGTAATGTTTGTTCTTTAAAACATATCTTAAAGGGACACTATGATCACCAGAACCACTACAGCTTAATGAAGTGGTTCTGGTGTCTAAAGCATGCCCCTATAGCCTTAGTACTGTAAATGCTGCTTTTGCCGAGAAAAGGCAGTGTTTACATTGTTGCCTAGTAACTGAGTGACTACCACTAGAGGTGCATCCTAGATCAGTGCAGCACTTGTGTTCAGCATCTCCATCCTCTGCATGAAGACGCTGAAGGCTCCCCTCAATGTACCTTTCAACCTATCCTCCCTGCCCCTGCCCTACCCTTTACTTCCTTTGAAGTTCATACTTTCCATCTATTTAAACCCACTCCTCTAAGAATTGGCATCATTTATCCCCCTCCCCCCCCTTACTGGTCATCCTAAACTATTTATTGAACAGTTCACTTCCTGGTTACCCTATTTTCTCCCCTCTTGCACTCCTTCCCTCATTCTTGGGGACTTTAATATCCCAATCAACATCCCTAACTGCCCTGATACCTCTCGTCTGCTCTCTATAAACTCCTCCGTTGGACTCACACAGTGATCTAATTCATCAACTCATAGAGCAGGAAACACTATTGACCTCATCTTCACCAATCTTTGTACCACCTCTAATCTCTCCAATGTTCCATATCCTCTATCTGAGCACCATCTGCTGTCCATTGACATCCGCATACCCCGTACACAAAGTACCTCACTCTCACCACATCAGTCTTGCAGAAACCTCCATTGTCTTGACCTACAGCAATTTTCCACCAACCTCCAAAGTCTCCTTTCACCAATCTCCAATCTCACCTGCCATAACACTGCAACCTCCCTTTACAACTCCACTCTCTACTCTCAACTAAAGATCATGGCACCTCCTACACTTAAACCCACTAAGCACCAATTACAACCCTGGCACACCAAGCTGACTTGATACCTCCAAAAGTCTAACTCTGCATCTGACTTCCTCCACTTTAAATTTATACTGTGCTCCCACAGTCTGGCTCTTTCCTCTTCAAAAGAAAACTACTTCAATATATTCATAACCACACTCTCCCGCAAGCCCAAACGACTGTTTCGTGCTTTTAACTCTCTTCTTTGCCCTGTCGTGCCTCCTCCTCCTACTAACTTGACCCCCACAAACTTTGCAACTCACTTCACTGAGAAGATTTCTACAGTCAGAGAAGAGATCTCTCATCTCTCTCCATCCACTACAAACTTTTCCCCTAACCACATTCCCTCAGCTATCCTACGCTCATTTGCACCTACTCAGCAGAAGAGGTTTCTGCTCTGCTCCGTTCCTACCGCCCCACCACCTGTTCCCTCGATCTTATTCCCTTGTATCTCATCTGCACTTTGTCTCCTTCTGTTGCTCTGCCTCTCACTAAGATTTTCAATCTCTCCCTCTCCTGTGGCACATTTCCTCCACCCTTCAAACATGCAACCGTAACCCCAATTCTGAAAAAGCCCAACCTTTACAATAATTCCCCGTCCAACTACTGCCCTATCTCGCTACTGCTGTTTGTCTCCAAGATCCTTGAGCGTGTTGTGTATGCAAGATTGACAGACTTCCTCAAATCCAATTCTCTGCTTGACCCGCCTTAATCTGGATTCTGCACTCGGCACTCGGCAGTGACCAAAGTATACAATGATCTTATCACTGCTAAATCCCATGACCACTACTCTATCCTAATTCTCCTCAACCTTTCTACTGCTTTTCACACTGTTGATCATCAACAGCTTCTTCTCATCCTCCGTAATCTCGCTCTACAAGATACCGCTCTCTCCTGGTGCTCTTCCTACCTCTCCCAGCGCTCATTCAGTGTTTCTTTTTCTGGCTCTTCTCCCCAATCCCTCTCTGTTGGTGTTCCCCACAGTTCACTTCCTGTGTTGATTCCCTTTATATATTTAAATGTTTCTATCATATCCCCCCTGTATCGTCTTTCCTCCAAGCTATACATGTTAAAATCCTTTAACATTTCCTGGTAAGTTTTATCCCGCAATCCATGAACCAGTTTAGTAGCCCTTCTCTGAACCCTCTCTAAGGTATCAATATCCTTCTAAAGATACGGTCTCCAGTACTGTGTACAATACTCCAAGTGAGGTCTCACCAGTGTTCTGTACAATGGCATGAGCACTTCCCTCTTTCTACTGCTAATACCTCTCCTATACAACCAAGCATTCTGCTAGCATTTCCTGCTGCTCTATTACATTGTCTGCCTACCTTTAAGTCATCAGAAATAATCACCCCTAAATCCCTTTCCTCATATGTTGAGGTTAGGACTCTATCAAATATTCTGTACTCTGCCCTTGGGTTTTTACGTCCAAGATGCATTATCTTGCACTTATCCACATTAAATGTCAGTTGCCACAATTCTGACCATTTTTCTAGTTTACCTAAATCATTTGTCATTTGGCTTATCCCTCCTGGAACATCAACCCTGTTACATATCTTGGTATCATCAGCAAAAAGACATACCTTGCCATCAAGACCTTCTGCAATATCACTAATAAAAATATTAAAGAGAATTCCTCCCTTGATAAACTCATCAGCTCCTTCAGCTTCCAGTATCATTTCTATGCAGATGACACGCAAAATTATCTGTCCTCCCCAGATTTCTCACCACCCTCTTTCTCTGCTACTTCCAACTTGATGGCTGCTCATTTCCTTAAACTGAATCTGTCCAAAAAAGAACTTCTGGTCTTCCGTCCCTCAAGTGTTGCTACTCCCTTGTCTGTGTCCTTCCAAGTCAATGGCGCTACCATCCGCTCTACCTCTAAGGCTTGCTACTTAGGTGTTCTCTTTGACTCTGACCTCTCCTTCACCCCTCATGTCTAATCAATCGCCAAATCCTGCCACTTCCATCTCAAAAACATTCAACCCTATTAAACACCTGATACGGCAAAGGTGCTTGTCCATGCTGCTGTCCTCTCTCACCTTGACTACTGTAATCCGCTTCTCAGTGGTCTTACATATTTCCAACTTGCCTCCTTACGGTCTATAATGAATGTGGCAGCGAGGCTCATCTTCCTGTCTTCCCGCAAACCCCCTTTGTCAGTCCCTTCATTGGCTTCCTGTAAGATATAGGGCTCAATTTAAGATCCTGACACTTGCTTACAAATCTCTACACAATCCTGCTTCCACCTACTTATCCTCACTAATACACAAATATGTTTTGTCTAGGCCCCTACGCTCTGCCGGAGATCCACGTCTAACCTCTGTACGTACTCCTACCTCTCATGCTTACCTTAAAGACTTCTCTAAGGCTGCACCGTTCCTATGGAACGCACTTCCCTTCTCTGTTAGACTCTCACCCGGTCTCCACTCCTTCAAAAAATCTTTGAAAACTTACTTCTTTAGGAAAGCATATTAATTAAACTGTGAACAGTTTTCCCTCCCTGCATCCTGATTCCTCTCCTGAAACTGTCATCAAAACAAAACACAAAGCCCTCAATGAATATTATCTTAGCAACCTACTTTTCTACCCTACCCATATCTTTTGTCACTATACCCCACTCACTCTAGCATGTAAGCTCATTCTCTTAATATCTCTGTTCTTGTGTGTCAAACTTGTCTAGTTACAAATACGTGTCTGTTAGTCCACCCATTGTATAGTGCTACGGAACTTGTTGGCGCTTTATAAATAATAATAACAGAGATGCTTTGACTCAATGCATCTCTATAAGGAGATGCACGGCAAAATGCTGTACTGCGCCAATCAGGAAAGCATTGGATTGATTGAGATCATCAAGAATGACCAGACTGGTGCTGCGATGATGAAAAGGTAAGTAAGGCTACCTTTGAACTCCTTACTGAGGGGTGCCGGACATCTAAATAGGTAGTCCAGCACTATAGTGTTAGGAATACATGTAGAGAACATTTGAGGGAGGATCTGTGAATCTTAGAAATGCTAAAGGCATCTGGTAGAGAACTGTTTTTGGTGATTGGATTAAATATTGATAGTAGAAATATGTATCTAGTTTTATCACATCTCTATTATAAACATACCTAAATAGTATAAACAATGCCATACTCTCTCCTTTGGCAAGATGTGTGAAGCAATATCTGTATGATTCACTAAAGCTGGATACACAAAGGGTTTTTCAATTGTTGGCATTGTCATCATAAGTGTAAGTTCTGGAGTTTCTTGTTAAGGGAATGAAGCACTTTGGCAGGTTATAAATCAGGGTGATGTCATCAGACTCATTCCTGCTATTACAAGGGCATAAAACTGCAGGTCCTGGCATGTTATGGGTTCTTCATAATATACTTTCTGACTGAGGAACAACCAAGGAGCAGGAATAAAAAAATAATCTTGGAGGGTATATCTTTTTTAGCCCTTAAATGTAGATGAAGAAAGTCTGCAGAAAAGAATGATAATAGGGTATTGAAAGCCTTAAGGGCATGCAATCAATAAAACAAGGTATCAACGGCTGTTGGAAATGGCAACCAGCCGAGTGGTGTAATATTTGTAAGTGTAGATTTTCTAATAAGGCATAAGGCAAGCATCCTTGCTAACTAATGTTCACTGAGTTCATTATGGAGTATTGTAGTGATAAAAAGACAACATAGAAGCCAGACAGCAAACTGCACTGGTAAGTTACTTCCTTTTTGCTATACCATATGTTATAAATCAAATGTTCAGTTACACAGCAAGCTTCCCATTGCAGTTTGATGCCTAGCTTAGAATTACTCTGTTAAAGTAACTGTCTAAATTCATAATGTGTTATCAATGGCACAAGAAACTACTGGACTGTGCAAAGTATCTTCTTGCATGTGCATCCAAAACCACAGACACATCTTGGATTCTTTTCTAGAGAGGGATATTCAGTATGCCATGTATGGGTATATAGCTTATACTGCGATGTCTTTAAAGATAACAAGGCCAGAAGAGAGTCTCCTGGAGTCATACATATTACATGCCACCAATCTAGCTATGAAGATGGAAGATGTGGAAGTGGAGAAGCAGTCAAAATTAGAAGGTAGAGGTGGTAGTTAGCATGTTGGGATGACTGACAAAGTTGCTTAATGTCTTGTAAGTTGAACACAAACTCAGTTCTGGTGAGTAATTTATCAAGGTTCAAATTGTGTTTAATGGAAAACAGAGAAGTTCAGTTGGTTAGTGAGAGGAGTTCATAAACATAAGAATAGAACACACCTTTTTTTATCAAAAATACTTTTAACCTAAAGAAATGAATATTTAATGCACAGATCACAGAACCCAGGATACAGTGTCTATTGGTTCCAGCCATCGCTCTTTTCTTGACATTAAAGCTGGATTCAGTGCAATAAGTGAGAGAACAGTTGGTGCTCTTCTAACTGCAAGAGGTAAGTTTAGTAAAACTGAACAAATGTAGGAAACATACAAAACATAAGAAACCAGTAAAGAGCCTGCTCTTTCTAGGTTCACGTACCAGATCATCTTTGGCTATCTCATCTTCAGAGCACAGCTCTCCATCACCACCCTCGTCCCTCAGCTTTGCACTCACATCAGGACTAAGTCCTCGGAGGCTTCGATCTCCTGGAGGGGTGCTGCTTCCAGACAAAATCAATGAAGAGGGAGTTGAAACATTTGCAGGCAAGACAAAAAGATAGCATTTTACAGTCATTGCTTGTTATCAAGCATTTCTTTTAATTTCCTCATTCAACATAAAGCAATACTATCAACTTGTAAAAAAACATATAATTGATTTGACGTTAATAACAAAAGTATAATTGAAGTGAAAGAGGATGTGGACATACCATATCTTCCATTTTTATTTTTCCATTTTGTCACACTTGCTTACATTTGCTCTAGCATGGAGTTGGTGTTGATACCATTTTATTGCCATTATTCCAAGAATTAATATTTGTGCAAATTCGTATGTGCTACATTGGGGAATGTTGTTTTTGAATAGTGAACAGCGTTTAAATAATGTTTATTCACTCACAAGTTCCAAAAAAAAATTGTGGACAATAATTTATCTTGTCTAGGCAATAGAGCAAGACCTTAACAGGGATTGCTGACATGATGACGAAAGCATTGGGTGTGTATGAACCTTTTGTATGTGTGATTGCATATGTCTGCATGCAATTATTGTTGTTCAGGTGTGCCTGTGTAGGAATTCAAAGGATTAAATGACCCAGCTAGTGAAAGAATTGTGTTTATAATGAGTGTATTTTATTATTGAACATGAACCTAATCTGCATTGCGAGTATATTATAAGACTATTTGTACACATGGGAATAAACACAAGAATACAGTGCATTTAATTGACGTCATTTCCATGTTAGATTATAGCTACTTTAGGTTTAACATTTTACTAATTTATTTACATGGAAATAATACAGACAGCACGTTGTGTAATATTTTAATATATTGCCAAAAAAGATAGAATAAGGGTTCTTTGGATATTTGTGTTAATGGGCCTTTCCTGTACTGGGCAAGCACAGATAGGTTTGCCAAACACACTCCCGGCAATCCAAAAACTTTTAAACAGACATAATTAGCACAATAAGTGCTACAGGGTGTGATGAAGTGAGGTGTTTCCATTCTTAAATGCCTAGTTTGGCAAGGTTACAGACACTTCAGTATTTTAAGTGCTATTTATGTGATGAGTTTGTGCCACAAAAGGTGTATATTCAATGTTTTTGATAACAAAAGTTATTGAAGAAAGAAAAGTCACATAAAGTGTTAAACATAAGCTGATTATTCCAGAAAAGTGCCCCTAAGTTCAGACATGCGATTATGTGAGTACTTGTCAGTCAGATTCATTTCAGTTGGAATGTTGTCCTTTTTTCCTTTTTTTGTGCAGCGGTAGGAATCTTTACATATGTCAAGTGTCCTACAGCCTAAACTTTTTTCTTACCTGGGGCAAAGGTATCCAACCTTCAACACTTTATTTGCTGTCAACTGCACCATCTTTAGCTTAATAAATAATTGTAGAGTGTGATGGGAGAGTGATGTATGTTGTTCATACAGTGCCAGAGGTTGCCTATTTTTTATTTTAGATCATGTTTGTCTCTCTGTTTTTTCAGGTGGACCGGTGTGCCTTAAATCAATCTCACCCATTAAAGAAGGAGAAAGACCAAAGGTGAGTTAGCAAACCACTTGCATCCACTTTAGCTACCTGTCTTTTATTTATCATGTGTTCTAATAGACCATCTTATTTGCAATTGTCCATTCATTGTAGGATCTAACTATTGAAGGCATATTTCCGTCCACCTCTGTGTGATTTCCCAACTACCTGAAACATATATGTAACCTTGTAAGGTGCCAAAACCACTGAGAAGAAATGTAACCAAGCAACCTGGAATAATCTCAGTGACTACCAGAAATGATGGTGCTACTACACAACCAGCTTGGAAACCATAAAAAAAATAAATGTTTAAAAATGCTGATGCCAACCTCTAAACTACATCAGGGACATCAGTTGGAAATACCCCAGCATTTACGTGGTCTTTACTGGAATTGCACAGTGACTATAGCTGTAAATTAAGAAAACAGTGTAGCAAACCGTTAATGGAAAAAATGGAACAGCCTGTTGTAGCATTACAGAGCACGTATCTAAAAACTGGAACAGCAGATCAAAATCCGTAGGAGGCAATTTTGCCAAAACTGGAACCGTAATGCATAGCGTACAAGGTACGATTATTTGACACAACTGGAAGAGTAGTGAAGGCATTTATCATCCAGTCAGTAAAATAGTCAGTCCTCGGCATGGGTAATTTTTAGCCTACATCTCACTTCTTGACATCTCAATGAGGTGGATCAGTAGATATAGTGAAGCTCTCATTTATAGATAAAGGAACCATATTTTTCTCTTGTGGAAGTCATTGGAAAGCTTCTGGGAGGTAACAGAAGTCTCTGCTCACAAACCAGGACTATGGTAGTTTAGAGTCATATTTTTTTTGATGGCACCAAAAATAGTATTAATAACCAGGTAGCAACCCAAAATATCAGTATTAATGATTGCATATGAATGTATTTGTCCTAGTATTAATGCCGCCAATGAATGCCGATTGTTTGGAGCATACTTAGGTTTTAATATCCTATTGTGGTAATGCAGGTGCAATTATACTACTATAGCCACTCAACTGACTGTAAAAAGCAGCAATAAACTAAATCTAGCAGGAATGTCAGCTCTATAACCAAGCTATTAACACATTTAACCACATTTTTACTAGTATATGCAGCTATTTAGCCTTAGTAGTTTGGGTAACAATAGTAAACCATAGTGATGTATAAATAGGGTAAATATCCTTATGGTACGTGCTAGTAAAAGCCATAGTTATCCAGGAAGGCAAGACATCTCATATAGGAATATATATACCTTCTTGCTAATAGGCTAAATGTAGGAGGGAAATAATAGTGTCTTAGAATAATGCACACATGCATGTAGATCAATAACATAACTGGATTTTAATAGGGACTGTTACTGCAGACTGGAGAATGTATCTGTTGCAGAGGATCTTGGGAATTATGAAGGTTTTTTGGGGGGATATTCATGGACTTTGACATGAAGGATGCAGTAGGATTATGGTACACTGTTTGATGTTAAAAACAGTTGAGCTGTGAGTTAACCAGACTATAGCGGATCAGTTAATTACTAACTGATGTCTGATGGGTAAAAAAAGAAAAGAAAATCCTTAAGGATTTGCATTTATTAACTCAATGGGAACATGTTTTGATCTAGAAGGCAGTGTTATCATTGTGCAACCTGCGAGGAAGTGCATGTGAAAAGATAGCACTATTGTCTACAGTTTTTTTTGTTTTTTATATATCATACAATCCATCTTCTCCTCGTCTGAATTTGCACTTTTGTTTTTGTTAAGCACTTGTCACAAAAAGCATGTAATGCTTCATATACTCACTCCCCTTTATCGATACTTTGCATGAGACAGCTTAGGTTCATTTGTCTTCAGTAATATTCAGCATACCCCACAACTCTCTAGAGCAGTTTTTTGCCATAATCCCACAGTCTGGGGATTTTTAGGAAACTGGGAATTGTGGAGAATTGACAAGGTTGTAGTATCATACTAAGGGGTGTTGAGAAGATCCTCCCCATGTGTGTACACATAGCACTCCTTCCCCAAACTGAATTGTGGACAAGTTGGACCGAGGGCCAGATTTATATCAAGAGCACATGTTGACAGAGAATTCAAAGCATCTCCCCCACCCTCAACACAAAAAAAGGAAAATTGATTAGTTAAATATGATTAAAAAATGTATACATACAGACATATAAAATGTGTCTGTGTTAGTGTATGTGTATAGTAGTTTGTGGGTAGCAGCATATGTTACAGTGTGCAGCTGTGTGTGTAACACTTTGCTTGCAGCATGTGTAACTGCCATGTTTTAAAGGGGGTGGATATTCTGGCCCCTGTCCTCTCCTTTCCGGATACTGATGTGTTTTGTCTAATGGGGAAAGAGAAGAGATCACGTTCCATCACACCTGTTGTCTTGCAGTCTCTCTTTCTGTAATTGCTCTCTGGGAGGACAGGAAAACACTGAGGGTGGTTAACTTTAACAGACACAGTAAGCACTTGTGGCACCCCTATGAGGTATGCGCCTGGCCCATAGAATGAGATGACTGCCTAATCTGTAATTGGAGATTAAAATGGCATGCAGTAAGCAAAGAGGGTGGAGATATGGCCACTAACTGTACACCACTCCAAACACAGACTGGACAGAGTCAGGGCTAGCGCAAACATAATGCAACACAGGTAGCTGCCTTAAGAGATACAGAGATCCTCTACCATGGTCCATGTGGCCATGCTACATGAGGGAGGTAAGCAGACACAGGAGAGGAGAGGGTGAAAGAGACCACAAAGGGATGGGGGTTGTGGAAGGGACACATAACAGAGGATGGGGGGAGACACAGAGGAGCTGGTGAGGAAGGCACACAATGCTGGGACACACACAAATGGGCTGTGGGGGAGCAAGAGAGACACAGAGGGATGGGGGGGGGAGGCACACAAAAGGGCAGGAAAAGGGAAGAAAGAAACACAAAAGGTACTGGGGGGAGAAAGAGACACACAGATCAGCAGGGGGAAAGAGGCACACAGATGGGAAAGGAGGAGAGACACACAGATGGATTTGGTGGGACGACGACACGCAGATAGACTGGGGGGGGAGAAACACAGAGGGGTTGGAGGGGAAAGAGACAGACAGAGGGGCTGGAGTGGGGAAGAAAAATATGGAGGGGGAAAGAGACAGGCAGAGGGTCTAGAGGGGAAAAGACACAAAGAGGGTCTGGAGGGAAAGAGACAAAGAGGGACTTGTTTGAAGAGACACACATAGAGGCTGGAGGGGAAGAAATGCAAAGAGGGGTTGAGGGAAAAGAGACAAGGTGAAGGGGAAAAAAGACACACAGAGGGACTCAAGAAGGGGTGAAAGAGATAAAGGGGATAAGGGAAAAAAAGACATACACAAAGGGGCCGGGGAGGAGTAAGAGACACAAAAAAGGGGAGTAAGAGACACACAAGGGGGTTGTAAGAGACACACAAATGTGTAATGGAGATTAGCTATACTAAAGGGGCGTGTAACAGACAAAAGTAGATAAGATACACTAAAGACATTCAAAAGAAATGAGAGGAAACAAAAAAGGGAGTAAGACATTCAAGAGGGGTTAAGACGCAGGTGGAGATGCATTTTTGGGGGGGGGAGGGAGAGGGAATGCGACAAAATGCATTTATGCCTGTGTACCCAAAAATACTTGCAACCGCCCTAAACAGAGTAACATGCAGAGAGCTTTATCCTCTGCCATGTTCCTTGTCAGCCATTATACCATATTGGTAGGGGAGTAAGAGATACACAAGGAATACGGGAGAGTTAAGAAACACACAAAGATAAGGGAGGGTTCCGAGACACTCAAGGGGTTGGGGGTGCAGAGACACACAAATGGGGGTATAGCAACACACACAAAAAATGTATGTGTGTGGGGGGGGGGTGTTAACAAACAGAATATTCAGCCTCTTGGGTGATAACTACCCTAGATACACAATTATCCACAATTCCATTTAGTGAACAAATCTGTAAGTGGTATTTGTTAAACCAGGAATGGCCAGTATGAGTGAATTGTGGACATGGATAATTTTTCCATTTAGGCTATTTTGGTCTCTGTTTTGAAGTGTTTTCAGCTTGGCTATTTTCTCCTAAATGTCTAATTTCCCTGGTCAATTCCTGAGAAATCACGGCTTAATGAATATCTATGCATGTGTTGGGTTAAGTCTAATATAAAGGACCCCTTATAGTAGTATATATGGTACATTCCAAGATATTTTTTTTAAGGAGACATGAGTTATTATTATTTGCAACATATTTTGTTACTGCTTTTTATTCTGTTTATATTTGTTTAATAGAATGGTACATGTTATTTTTGTTTGATTTTCAGTTACACAGTGGTACAGTCCATGCATGACATATATTGATATAGTCATTGTATTAATCTTTTTTTGTGGAATTGGAAATCCACAGAATTTATTTTAATTGCAGTTTACAAGTATCTCCCCTATCTTGATAATAACATACAATCAATTACTACTCTAATGTTATTAGATCAAGGTTAGAGGTTAAATCCATCTCCTACTTGTATATCAGCAGCCTGATAGCAGTGGTTTTCTGCCACTGTAGTCTTATTTTTGTATTTATAATTTGCTTACTTAGGAGGAACCCTATTTCTTTATTAAAAGGACATTACAGGCACCAGTACAACGTAAGTGCATTTGATTGGTTTTGGCCTTCATTCTTTAATGCATTCTTTTCTGCACATTCAAAACAAAATGCTCTGCAGCAAAACCCCAACCCTTAGGCATGCTTTAAATTTTTACAAAGTAACTTCCTTAATACAAGTACTCTGAGTAGTTGTTCAGCTCAGCCAATGAGATTTCAGTGTGACACGAGTTGCTGACATGACTTTACCCCACAGCCAATCACTGTCTTTTTTATTTTCAACCCCTTCCTCTTAGCATGATTTGCTGTGGGGCAGAAGCAATTGAACAACTCAACTCACACTGATCTCCTCTCATTGGCTGAGCTACACTGCGTACCTTCCATTCAGGAAGATGTTTTGTGAAAAGAGGAGGCATGGCTAAGTGGGCAGGGTTATGCTGTAGAAAGCAGTAAAACTTTATTTTATTTTTGCCAAATTAAATTGATTTAAATGTGTAAATGAATATGAGGCTAAAACCAAATGTAATTAGTTTTGTTGGTACCCAGAGTTTACCTGGGGTGGTGCAGTCTGTCAGTCATTCTCAGTCTAAACTTTTAAATGTATACATCTGTTTCCATTACAATAGTATGTGCTTAACGTTAAAAAAAAAAAAATGTTTAATTGTATGTCTTTTATCTACTAAACTATATATTGCCCATGTTCTGTCCTTGGCACATTTTTTTATTAAATATATCTTTAACGTTTGATAACTTGGTTGATCTTTTATTCACATTGTGTATCAGCCTTGTATAATTTCAGTCCTCAGGAGGTATGCATCAGCACCTGGTACACCCTAGGTAAGAAATTTAAAGCATTCTAAAACACTTTGACTACTTTTATTGGGGTGGTGGGTGCCAGTTACAGGCACCACAACCACTACAGTGGGCTATTTAGAGTGGTTTATGTGCTGGATGGGTTCTTTAAGCAATACTCTGCCAGACTAGCTCAAAGCAGAGCAGTTCCAGCTGTCAATGGATAATAAGCGCCTGACGGACCACAGGTAAGTTGTAATTCTGTTAGCAGTTATGACTGATGTTGTACTTATGATGTTACGTTAACCACTGAAGCTCATTGTAGTTCTTATGGTGCTATGAAGCCTTGGGTGTCACTATCCTTCCCCTCATAAGCATTTTATATCTTGCTTTTCTGGAGTGGCTTTCCAAATAAAAATAAAATAAAAAATGCTCTCCCCCAACACCCAAATTGTGGCCTCACTGCAGTTACTCAGGTAACACAAAAGGATTTACTTCTACATGATCTGACCAACTTTAGATGTAATGATAGACTTAGCAGGCGTTTGTGGGTTGAGGAAAAAAAAAAAAACATACCGATATACTATAATGAGAGACGCGTGACTGGTGGAGCTTCTTTCTAGTCCTTGAGGGTCTGCCTGCTACTTCAACTACGAGCAATAGCAACAGAAAATGCAAGGCAAGTATCTTCTACTTGTACCTTTTCTTGCATATTTTAATGCATTGTCTATTAAAACAATTTTTTTATTTTTTTTTTAAATAACACTTTAAGCTGTTTTATCCAACAAACCGTTTTATTGAACAAAAGTTTACAATTTGAGCAATCCATTTAAGGGGCAGGATGATGCAACACATGGTAAAAATATACATATACTCAGGACAAAGATGCAATTTATTCAAAAACATAGATAATAAGGTTCAGGCAAAGTGGCATCATCTTGCAAACCAACTGTAGACGGGAAAATGTATTCAATTAATCAAACAGCGAGGTGGTAAACACCAATAGTAAAAAGAGTTCCCCTTCATCCTTTTATTAGGCCATCAATATGTTTCCATAGTAACTTGCTAGTTTACAGCCAAAAATCGTTCCTCATTAAAATTACAGTGTATCAAGACTGAGTAGGCAAAATTTTATATTTTTGGATAAACTTTTCAAATGATTTTTTTTTTAAATATTAAAATGTATCATATATATATATATATATATATATAAATTATCAATATATTAAAAATCCTAAAATATTTTTCAAAATATTAAATCATATATTCATTAATTCATATGATTATACAAGAATATTCAATAATTTGAAAGCTTATATAAAAATATTAAATTGAGGCCATAGTTAGAAATATCCCACAAAATCCTCATTGGTCCCACCCATTACTGCCTGAGACTCGTTATTACGAAGCCAGTCTTTGAGGTGATAGAAGAGAGCTTATATTAAGAGATTTCTTGGTTGTAAATCCAGCCATTCAGTTTTCATTTCTCTATTTTTTGACAAAGCAATCAAAGCCCAAGTACAAAATGGAGGCTGTGGACTCATTTAAGAAATGGCTATTTTATTTTTAATGCTATTATTGAGAGGGTGATGTTTGATAAGGGCAGTTTTCATAGTTAATGTGGGCAGAAAATTAATGTTGCTTGCCGTGTTGGTGGAAGGAGCTTGTGTTTATTTTTTATCTTGTGCAAATATGCTAAAGAGTTAAAAGAGCAATTGTAGGTATGCCTTTGTACCTGTAGTGCAACTTTTTGGTCAAGAGGTTCCTTCCTCTTTTATATAACTCATTCATAGTTATAGTTTAGATCGTCCCTCTCATCGGAACGCTCCTTGTGTGTTCCATTGGATTTCAAAGTATCTGTAAGAATATCCACCACTCTCAGTGTTCTGGAAAAAATAAACCATGAATAGCATTAGTACTTTGGAATTTCTGTTATAATACTGAACTATATATCCAACCACAGTTCTCACAATTGCAAACACAAGATGAAAGTCAGATAGGTAAACCAAGCCACGATTTAGAAAATTCACAGGCACCCAAGAAAAAAAAAAAGAGACAATAAATCGAAGAATTGAAGGTTTGCATTTCACATAAAATAAAAGTACTGGAGCAAGTGATATATTGACCATCACACCTAATCTGTGACTATACAGATTTTGTTCCCAAAAGATTCATATCATGTCTAAAATGCAAATTAAGTAATCCTGCCTCTATTACAACAATCCTTCACTGGTCCACAGCGTGAACCAAGCCAACTTTTTGTGGTTCCACAATTGACTGATTCCATTTTCTAAGCACATCAATGATTTGCAGATACTTGTTTATGTATATACGTACAATAAGTATCCAAGCTTGAAAGCTTACTCAGATTTATGTATTACAGTTACCCATAGACAAGTCGGAGATTATGCACTGTGTGTAATTATACATGGGCTACTTGTATGAATACAACTTACAGCAACCATTCACAAAAGTAGCAGAATTGGCCATGTGTAATTAATTCAAGAAACACTTAAAGTGAACCTGTCATCCAGAAACCTTGTGGATGGCATTATCATCTTTAAGTTAAATATATCTTTAGTCAACATATTTCACCGGCAAATTCTTCAGCAAATACTTAGATTAAAATGTAATCCAGCACAGCGTGATATAGGCCAAATGCTCCAAACGCCTAATGTAACACGGGCCCACTTATGTAGGAGCCCATCCCCCTTAACTCGCACTAAATAAATAAATAGAGATACCATTCCTATGATGGCTCAACTAGGCTGTGCAACCCACTCAAGCTCCTACTTGACTAGACTTTCACTTCTAGTATTCCACAAACAGACTTTACCTCACAACTTGACCTAGCCCAGTTTGCTGTAGGCATCATTTTCTATGAAACAGCACATCATAAACCAAAGTGACATCCACTAAGCCAAACTCCGTAACCTCTACCATCCAGAGACCTGATTGTTGCACATGAACCTCCAACGACACAAGATACTATGTCCTTACACAGACTAGACTTACAAAACTCAAATGACATAGAACACACTCACCACCAATCCCGAGGGTCTCACTGGCTACACGATTCACAGATAGTGGTACTGTTAACCCCACACAGACAAGTGGACTACATTCTCCTTATCTCAAGCCAAACCTCTCGCTATAACTTATCAGTCCATTATATAAACAATTTGTTAATTTTACCACTATGATGCCTTGTATTACCTATGATATGCTATTCTGTAACGTGTCATTGCTGTCGTGGCTCTACACGTATGTCTTTTACTTGCTCGCATTAAAAAAATAAGGAATAAAAAAAAAAAAATTTAATCCAGGAATTAAGGGGTGAACTCACAGGTCTTTTCCAAGTGATTCTTTTATTAAAACATACAAATTATGTCTGTCCCGATCAATTGGTCAGCAGAAAAAACACACATCGTATACATTTGGGAAAAGCACAGTACTGACACTGAGCACAACTGGAGAACCCTTTGGGAAAAGCACAGAACTGACACTGAGCACAACTGGAGAACCCTTTGGGAAAAGCACAGAACTGACACTGAGCACAACTGGAGAACCCACATTGGCAGCAGCAATATCCATGTCTTTGTATAAGTTCTTGCAATGAGAGACTCTTAAAACAGAGACGTTCAGAGTAGTTGTGAGTATCGTTACCCTTTAAGCACCAGAGACATAATAGCTGATAACAAACCAGTCATTAAATGGATATGTATCACTATGAGAAAACTGTCTAATTCAAAAACTTTAGTTTTGATTAAGACATTTGTCTCATTCTGCAAGCTGACAAAAGTAGGTATTTTTTTTACAATTTTTTTCATATTTACCTGCTTTTTCTGTTTTGTGCTTTCCACACCCACTCCAGGGGCGACACTTATCCAACCAATCAGTGCCCTTTCCCTAGGAATGCTAAAAACGTGCATTGGGCATGCCTCACAGATTTACACATGTGCAGTTGGAAAATCTCTGACAGGGTGAAAATGGATGAAGTCTGATCAGTGTGATCATGCAGAACAGGTTCTGGTGTCAGGTTTCTCTCTCTTGCTACTGCACAATGGATGCCCTGTTTCTCTCATTAGTGGACTGGTCTGAAACAGAGATGGATAGGTAAGAGGGGTGGGGGTGAGACTGAAGAAACTCCCCTAGCTGAGAGGTGTGCCCATCAACCCAAATTGTTATGCTCTTTGCTTTATATGTTTGATTAAAAGTAATTGCTTGCTGGTTTAACCCCTTAAGGACACATGACAAGTGTGACATGCAGGGCCGGCGCTTCCTATAAGGCGAACTAGGCAGCCGCCTAGGGCGCCATATAGGAGGGGGCGCCCTGCGCCCCCATCGCCGGCCCTTTAAATTCTGCAGCCGCCTGAGCGCTCTATAGAGAGCGCTCAGGCGGCTGCCGCAGTGCCTCACCTCCCCGGCACTGTAGCGTGGCCGAGCTCCTTTCCGGTCCGCGACCCGGCGGGACTGAAAGGAAGTGCACACCACTTCCTATCAGTCCCGCCGGGTCGCGGACCGGAAAGCAGCTCGGCCACGCTACAGAAGGGCAGGGGAGGTGAGGAGATGATTAAAGGGGAGGGAGGGGGGAGATTATTGGAGGGGGGG